GAAATGGGTCCTAAAATTAAAATAACTATATCATAACTATTACAAATCCCAGTGTCACATTAAGGTGCCCAATTTGTGATTTCCTAGTCTAATTCATCGTAACTATGGGAGCATTTACAACAAGAAGAGCTGAGGTCTAGTAAGGCCCTAACCTAAATATGGCGGACCTACTTGAAAGGAAGGCCGCTAATCTTTTAATGGTTTCTCCGCCTCTCACACGCCTCTCAACACGTTGTCCCTCGACTGATTGAATTGAGTTGAGATTTAATTACTGCTCCTGCAGGGACAACGCGTGGTGAGGATTTTAATCCTGTTAAAACAGGATCAGCGGCCTTCCTTTCGCTGCTTTACTAGACCTCGGCTCTTCTCGATGTGAATGCTCCCTGTGAGTGTCTCTGCTAGTTTTGGAATACTAGTATAAGAGCTAGAAAATTTGAAGAAGTTCATTTCAGTGAAGGTCACGTTATAATTAATTAATTAAAAGATTGCAAATACATAAAATCCTATTCAATTTAACAGTGCATTAAATTTGTACCTATGGGTGTCTCAGTTTTTAAATATTTCACGTTTTATTTTTTGAAAAAAAAACACCATTAAGCTTCGCGATGTTGTTGTTTTTGATATAACGTAGCAATATGAAAAAAGTAGACAACAGTTAAAGGGGTAATAACTCTTCGTATGAGATCTATATTTCACAATAAAAACCTTGTGAATAACTCATAGAAATATAACATATTCTGTTTTACCACAAAACAGCAGTTATAGCCATTATTCTGATATCTGAACTTGTCTTTAGACCACGTGACTTCCATTGATGTCTATACTCTGTTAAAATCTCTTAAGAGATTTTAACAAAAAAACCAAACTTTTTAGAAAAAAAACAGGGACTAACTTTGAATGTAAAAATGGATTCATTAACCATTGGTAAATATGGGAAAATTGTTGTTTACTCCAGGAAAATTCATTTTTTGGCCGAAACGAAGAGTTATTATTGCTTTAAAGATTTGCGCTTGACAAGCTCTACAAAATGCAGCAAACTGGTCTGTAGCTTTTACAGTTGGAGATTTAGAACGAGTTCTCAGTTTCGGCATTGAATGGGTGCTTCTCCCGTGAACATGCATACTACCGATTAACCACAAACTCACGAAAATAAAAGGAGACCCACGGATAACTCCTCAGCGTAATGTAAACCCGTAAGTCTACGATTATGTCTAGATAATTTCAACCTGGTAAATTATGAATTTTACGGATACTGTATTTCTTTGAATTTAAATTCTTTAAATAAGAGTATTCTTATTGAGTGGAAGCAACGTAATTGGAAAGCAGACAACCCAATGGTTTTATTCTATACAGTATTTTAAGCACTAAAATGCTACAGGTAATGAATCCAAAATTTCGATCTGAAAAACTGATATTTAAATCATTCCAATGGCCCACTCTTGAAATAAGAATTTTGACTAGCTGAATAATAGTTCTAAACCGTACCAAATAGCACCGATCGCCCTCCAAGATATAAAAAAAATTCGGGGCCCTTCACTGGGCAAGAAAACCCCATGTCAAGGGGGAGTGGAGGAGGGTTAGCATGTTAGTTGATAAGTGTTCACTAATAGTCAGGTGCGAAGCAAATGTAATCACTTATGTGGCAGTCATGACACCACACCTTAACCTAGACCCCACTCCCAGAGATTAGATCGATCCAACTAGAAAAAGAACTCCCCTTTTGAAATTACTGGCTACGGGCCTGCATGACTCGGGTTTTTCAGGTCCTATAGACCTGACTGATTAGGGACTCACTTAGACCCCATTTCCAGAGATTAGATCGACCTACTTTAGATCGACCTAACTCCCTGGGGGTTCACGCTAAATAGCTGTCAGCCGAGTGGACACGAATGTTAATTCCTTACAGCTTGTAGTAGGCGTGACGGACATTTAAGCCGGATTATCTGACAGTAATCTAGTGAGACTCCCCACGGGGAGAGATCGATCTAAAATCTATGGGAATGCGTCCCTAGATCACACCGTAACCAGACTGAGAGAGGAGTAAAATTGTGCTCTAGTTTCCTTTGACTCTACAGACTTTACAAATATGTAAGTGTTTGGGTTTGTCTTAATTTTATATATTTGTGGAGATTGTTTTATTATTTTCATTTTGAATTGTAATATATATAGGCTATATACTTAAGTGCATGACCGGCTAATCGGCGAATCAGCTAATGAGTAATCCAGCAATGCACTATCAGTCTTAACATATTCATTCGGAGGTTAAGTATATAATAAACAACGGCATTATCCATTTGGGAAATTTTATTCAGGAATCACTGAAAATATTCACGAAGCACGGGTGTAGTTTCCCTTCTTCTTCGTATTGCTCTAGGCTGCGGGGCCACATGAACTGATCATGTTTTAGACATCTCACTCAGGTGACTGGAATTGAAACATATATAAATATTGATATGTTGTTATGTCAGGGAAGATAGTTTAATGTATAGAGCTACTTAGTTTTTTGTCCAAAAAAATGATAAAATAAACGAATAAAATAAATAAACGAAAAATGATGACATACTGCTATCTACAAACGGAAAACAATAAGCTCTGTACATAGCGTTTTTTTTTTTTTTCAGATAAGAGAGATTTGAGTCCCACTGTGCTGTGAAGATTTGTCTTTTAAATAGCAAAAAAACTTTCCTGGAAATTTTGAAAGTTGGCCGTTTATCATTAGGTATATACCGTTTAAAACTATTTACAAAAACTATGAGGGCGTTTTCGAGTTTGAAATTTCATATTTTTGCCGTTACAAGTGACATTCATCAATTCATTTCTGTATTACAATGGCAATCAAGATGAAAGCGCTTGCTTTATAAAAAAAGACCTACTTTGTAATTTTAATTATTAAAATAATCACTTAAGAGCGCATTCAGAACAGCGGATTTATAGATCCGTGGATTAAATATGGCGGAGCCTCTGCAAAATCCCCGCGGGGAATCTATTCAGTACTTAATCGGGAATTAAGGAACAAGCTTTTTAGTGGGTCGCCATATTTGACCCGCAAATCTTGAGTCATTCACAACAAGTGGATCCGCGGACTATCAGATCTGCGGATCAAATATGGCCAACCCACATAAAAGCAAAGCCGAGTAATCCGCTGATGGTCTCCGCGGCTCCATACACGACGTTCCTTCAAGGCCCAGCAATTAAACCTATGATTTAATAATCCGTTAAATGGCGCGTGTGAAGGCGGGTCAATAGCAGTGGATAAGTGCGGCTTGTATTAGTGGGGTCGGCCTTATTCAGTTGGCGAATCAGTTAGTATGGGGATCATCTGTTCTGAATGTACTCTTAATAGGCCTAGTACCATTAACACAGACCCCATTCCCATACATTTGAGATCGATCTATCCCTGTGGGGAGTCTCACTAGATTAGTGTCAGCTTAACCGTCTGTCCCACCTACTAAAAGCTGTAAGGGGGTAATTAACTATGGTGCGCGCTCGGCTGACTGCAATTTAACGTGAACCCCCAGGGAGTTAGGTCGATCTAAAATTTAAATCTCTGGATAGATCTAAATCTTTGGGAATGCACCCTTACACTAACCCACTGGTCCTTGCAAAGGCAAGTCGTATAGCAAGGCATTGGCACTGGTTTCACTCCCTTAGGAGCCGGCGGAGGGGGCAGGCACCAATTTTCACACTTGCAATCATCCGGAGAACACCCTCTGCAGTCGACATAGGACGCTTGCACGTCGCTGAGGAAGAACAACACGCAGACCAATGTAAGAGCAAGCAGCAGCTTCATTGTTGGTGGGTTGGGTTCGGGTTATTATGCAGCAGGCCCTCGACGAAAAGAACAGAGCTTTGTTCTGGAGCAGCTAGCGGTTAACAAGCTATTGAGAACTATGTCTATTTAAGGGTTTTTTTGTAACTGGCTAATTCGCCGTTCACGGTGTATCGATAATTTTGTAATGGAGAATAATTGTACAAAATACTAGAGCGCAGAAATTATGCACCACCTTGTCAAGAATAAATGAGGGTTTTCTCTCATTGTGAAACACAATGATACCTCGATAGGACAATTGTACCCTATTATTGTAATGTTTTTAGGAGATGATGGGAAATTTACTTCCACTTTAATAAATGAAAATGGCTGGGCGTTACAAATTTAAGTCACTAGCATGAACGAAAGAGCCAGATAATTTGCGCTCATTATTTGATAAAGGGAGAAATTATCTGGGGGTGATAATATACTTCAAATTCCCTTTTACGTATTACATAAACACAAAATTACAGATCAAAGTTCATGCAGTTGTTTTGGTGGCACGGAGCGGCGCTGCAGCAGTAATTCCCAATTATTGGAAATGAAATTCAGCTTTTGTGGCATCTGAAAGTCGTGCATTTTTATGGATAGGGTGATGAAGAGGAAATTATATTTCCAGGTTATTGCTATTATCATCATTATTATTGCTTTTTTTGACTTATAGCCTAATAGCCTTGTGATGTTGAGCGTCCGCCCCCGGAGGAGGACTTATCGGTTGGTTCGACCATGACCAGTTCTTCATAAACGGTAGGTACTTGCCAGGGGCGTAACCAGACCATTTATAAGTAAGCACAGATTTTGAAAATTCCCAGGTACGATTATATTCCGTGAAAAAATACACTAAATTTATAGAGAATAATATCATGGTTGGCTCAAAAAATTGTACGCACAGTGCATCCGTGCGTATGCCTGGTTACGCCCCTGCTTGCTGTCTCCCCGCTTGGTCCTCAGCACTTGACGGTTGGACTAGAGTCGAGGTAGTGTTCCTGGCCCCGGTTTCCCCCCCCCCCCCCCCCCCACACACACACACACACACACGTGACCATGTGATATAATTGGTTGTTCTCTGATTACTTCTACGTTGACTCTCGTGACTGCTAAGTACTTTCACATCCTTTGACAACTTATCTTCTATCACGTGACCTTTCACTATATAAAATCTGTGCGCGCCAATTTCGAGCACTGAGACGGTGGAAAGGCTAAGACTTGTGGCTTGTGTTGGTAAGTTAGTTGCTCTGGTATTTCATTGCTCTCTGATCGTATTTCCAATCACCTTTACTATAGATGTATTTTCCACTATTCTTATTCATTTTTCTTTCAGCCTCAGATTACAGAACCCTCTAGTTTATCCCCCCGTCTTAGTCACTTACAACCCCTTCTCGGACATTGGAGTATGTACGAGTTAGCGCTGTGTAAATCTATATACGTGTAATCTGTCATTTATAGTAAGACTAGTAGGCCTATTTCTTAATTTAACAAAAACATGTTAAATTATCAGTATTATTTATTTATTTCGACTGTATTGTAAATATTGCTGTACATCTTTTTTTAGGGTTTTTATTTTATGCTATTTTATTCGTTTGGATGTCAGAATAAACTTTGAACCAGCCACCTGAATTGAGTTAGCCATTCCCGGTAACACACACACACACACACACACACATCACATACACACACACACAAACAAACACACACAAAATGAAATAACTGAAGTCTAAACGAATTATAATATATTAAGTTTAATGAAGACCGCCACGAGCCTTCCTGGTATTTCAGAGGAATATCGTAATTGAGTACTTTTGTTTGACGGGTTTTACCATTTTCAAGATCTAATTTGGTAAAGATATAATTAAGTATTTTTTAAGAATACAATGACATTTATAAGTTATTTTTGGGCATTCTAAAACGCGTTACAGCACACCTTCAATATTAATGATTGGAGGTATGATCGAAGAATTTCAGTTGCAAGTATCCCACGGCACTTGCTGTTGAAATCTCGACCAAAGCGGGAGGCGGGGGGATTCGAAATTGGACAAGTTTCCCTCACCCACCCCCCTTTCTGGCACTGAATCCCAGGGTCTGATCTGTGTAACCAAGATAGTTATAATTTAATTATAGCAGTGAATGACACAATTTATTTTTGTTCACAAAAGGAGATAGGACGGAATGTTGGGCTCATCGGACGCCTGAAGGATCAGGGGAATGGCAGTACCCCAGCGAGTACTGGTATAGCTCGGTGGAATAATTAGGCTACCAAGTGTTTCCAGTGGAGTTACCGGTAAGTTGTATGGTTTTTTTCCCAAAAATATTTTACTAACAAAGTGTTATATAATCTTGCACGTTATTTTAGACATGCCAATAAGGTAGAACTTATAGTAAAAAAGTGGTTTAGAAAATTGCTGTCTTTCCCTTCATTATGCTGTGGTACTAGTGCATTGAAATCCAATTTTTTTTAAACCGGTTATAAAAGATATAATTCGTCACGTTGAAAGCACCCCCCCCCCCCCTTTCTTATTCATGGGAAATGAAAACTGTATAAAATCATTCAATAAAACGGCCCAATTTTATTAAATTGTTATATAGCTAAATAAAATGGTCTTTGTTCAACCATGATAATGTCACAGCTACATGTACTTATCATGCAAATACAATTATTTACAATCTACAATATACAAACACTGGCAATCTATATCTATATATATATATTCATCAAACAAATTCACAAAACAAAATTTAAAGAAAATACAATGTCAGATTATATTTCTCACCTCTGACTGAACAGATTGAACAAATACGAGCAGCAACAGCAGACAGCAACAAACATTCAAATAAATAAATATAAATAATTAATTTTACTGTGTAACTGTTAATGTATCTTCATGCGTTATGACAAATGCAGCGAGTGAAATATAAATTACTTGATGACAAATCGGATGATATTCACTAGAGGGCACCACATTGAGTCTATCTGTTTTATGCAAGAGCACATCTGCACCCCCTGGTGGGCAAATTAACCCTGCCTATGGCACCAAACCTATGCAATGAACTCAAATCAATTAAATGCCATTAAAATCTGGGATGGATGAAAAAAAAAATGCAATTTTGGTGACATAAATCTACACTTAAAATGACTCATTTTTTGTTTTCTTTTAAAAAGATTAAACTTTGACAAAATTGGGGGGAATACCATTTTTTCTATTTCAAACTGTTTGATGAAAAGATTTTTAAAGATGGAATGTGGTGACAAATAAAAACAGGTGTGCCAACAAGAGATTTTTGTCATGTCCAACAACAGAAATAAAACAGAAGAATCACTGATACACAAATGAGCAGTATGCTTCTGTATAATACATTGTTCATGCACTATTTAATTATCATTTACTTTAAAACACAATCCAAAGTTCTTAGTAGTAAAGCAAAAGGGATGTTTAACATTGGAGTAAGTCAAAACTATGGGTTTTTTATTGGTGATATAATATGAAATACCTTTGACTTCTATTAAATTCATATGCCAAAAGAAATATTCCTTTTTAGCATAAAGCATAACATTGAGATAAAATATTCAAATACTTATTCTCTTTCTTCTGTATGCATTGGTGTCTGATAAACATGCAACTTTGAAATACAGACTACAGTCACAGCTTTTTCTTACTTCAGCAAATATGAAATGAACTTTCATGCAAGGTATACTTCCAACAACTGTTTGGGGTGACTATTCCTAATGTTGTCATTACAGGAAATAAATTCCTCAAACCTTACAAAATTGTATAAACATTCAAGATGCCTTTGCACTTAAATATGCAAAAGTGTCTTATAAAATAACATAAGAGGTATTAATAGAAAAAGAAGCTCCAAACAAATGCCATTAAGACAACTATAGATAAAACTGCACAAACTGCTTTTTCCATTGCACTTGCTCAAATACATCAATAAATTAAACATCTACAGTACTGGTATTTTCAAACATTTCTTAAAATAATAAATAGTAGCAACAGTGCCTTCTCAAAGGGATTGTTACATAATAAACAGGTGAAACAACCTGATATGAAATAATTCAAGTCTTTCATTTTGACACATGTTAATACAAAGCCTAGAACATCTAAACAGTCAGCGTCACCATGACAACATCACCATGACCACCCCAACCCCCCATGTTCATGGTTAGGGGCAAATGAGGCAAGTCTTTTGATTGGTTATAATAACCTTAAACAGTTTGTGCTGCATTCTGACAAGTAAAAAAGAAGACCTATAAGTTCAGATGAATTCAGACGATTAAAAAAAAAATTATACAAATCCAGAAAAAAAATACTAAAATTGTGGATGTTAGAAAGTGGTATTAAGGAACATGAGTGGAAAAAGAAGTTCCAAAGTTATAATAATAATAATAACCCTTTTCAGCAATTAGTACTTTTAGTTTTATTAAGTTTATTAAATTAATTTAATCATGTTTATAAAGTATCATTATGACTTGCATCAGAGCATTGACCACACCCTCCACTAGGGGGCAGGGCTGTCAGGGTCACATGACCAATATTGAAATCATGTGACCCTGCATTAATCCTACAGAGGTACTAATTAAAGAGTACAGTATTTAAGGACCGTTTCAAATTGCACAAGTATATCTTTAATCAAGCTATACCAATTTCAATTTTTTGTCACGAAAAGCACCCCACAGGAAGGTGCATCAAGGCAGTCAATTTTTTTTTCATGTTTTCAAAATAAGATCTCCCACAGTTTAATTACAAACCTTGAAATAAAATGGTCTTATGGTAAAGGATGAAAAACAAAATCAAAACATGACCTGTGGAAACGTATTGAAGATATTTACTTTAGAATCTAAATCATTTCAACTAAAAAAATAATAAATGAAATAAAAAATATACTAGAAGGAGGAAAAAAACACTGTGACCAAAAGGCAATATACATGTCCATTTAAAAATGAACCAGTCATTGGTGCCATATGTCATGGATTGGCCTCCTGTTCCTTTCTGGCAGCTGTTCAAGAACATGTGCTCATCAGTTAAGACATTATTCAGGTACTAATACTACCCAGCCAGCACATATAGCATGGTTTAAGACTGGTTTATTATAAAGATCTTAATAGTAGGCCTGTAGGTGTTTATTTTTACTTATTAATTTTTTTTTTTTGAGTGAGGGGGGGGGGTCTAAACATTGGGTCAAAAAGGTTTGCTCTCAATCCAAATATTATTTTCGGTCTGTTATAAGTTGATTTTCATTGGTCTGTGGCTTTAGCCAAATTTAGATCAATGTTCAACCCACTTGAATCCGATGTCCTAACAAAATGGAACCTGTTGTTTACTCCAAATGGAACTCACAACTAAACCAGCTGAGATTCGTAGTCAACCCACTTATGACCCACGGCCAACCCGGATAAGACTCAGTCTAACCAATACTGACCCAATATGGGCCTTTTTTTACTGCTAGATATGGTGGCAGGGTAAAGTATGTACACTCAGTGCTCTTCAACTGTCCACATACACTGTATGAAATCTAATCTATGTAATTCACACTATAATACACTATTCTACACTAGAACTATCTCTTAAAGACAGCTTATATGTCTCTACTCGTTTTCTCATAGGGGTCAAAAATTTAAACATTCACTTGTTAAAAACACTGGATATTTTCAAGTTTTAAAACTTTTTGCCTTTCACAATAATGGCTCCTGTCAGAATTGTAACCAATTTTTAAACATTTTTCAATCTATATAATTGATCAAATTTTTGTTCAAATTTGGTGAGAAATTGCTCTATTTAACACTCTACAATAAACAAATAATTCAAAGGGTCTTCAAGGTAAGTAGAAGCCCTGTTTAATAATGAAAAAATAATTATAACAATGATACAACACAATGTTTCAATTCTTCAATTATCACAAAGTAGGAAAAAACAAAAAAAATATTCCAACAAAAAGTTTCTTCAGACTTCCCTCCTCCTTGTTGTACAGGTACGTCTAGAATATAAATCCTCTTGTCACGAAGGAATTCATTTCTTTATCAATGATTTTCCTCTACTTTGTAAATATCACTGCAATTATATAATAATCATCTTTGTGGCATAGGAAATGAGTCAAATCAGCCCTAACGTGCCTAGTCATAATTTATTTGGCATGAGAAGATGAAAAAGAAATCCGCAATGCATGTCAATTTGTATCTCTAGGAAGGCATACGCAGGGCAAGAATTCTATGAAATCTTAATACTACTGATTCCAATTCTTTAAAAATTTAAAATGATGTTATAAAGAATAGACCTATTCATTTTGAGGACTACTCTTGGGATTTTAGCAACCCTGTTTTACCCCCCTTGCTGTGCCCAGTCACAACATCACCTGACTGAACTAGAGGCGCTATTATATTGACTGTCCAAAGAGGAGGAAGAGTTACGTCGAGTTGACCCACCGCTGCCTCCGCCACTCCCACTACTGCCTGCATTGACCAATGAGGAGGCAGGGAACAGTTTATACCAACCAATCACAATGTTTGACAGATCTAAATCATCCAGTAAAATCTGAGCCACGCCCATGAATACTTTGCGTTCCATTCTCCCGTAATCGCCCCAAACTGTGACCTGGAAGATAGCAAGGAAATATTTAATGTATGTCAGTATGATACAGTACACATTACATAATTTGGACTCTCTGGGACTGGAAAATATGCATGTCGAGACTCATGAATATAAAATATTTAAATGTTAACACCATACATACACTTAGGCAAATATAAATTCAAGCTAGGAAATGCAAAATAAAAGTACAATGGAATATACGGTAACAAGTAAATCCAATCATTGTATAACAATCTTAGGATAAAATAAGGAAAACATTGTCCAATTCATTTTGATTAACTGCAATAAAGTAATCTTGGGTTCAGTTGACCAGAATTTGCAATTTTAAAATTAAGACAAACTTTTAGTCTTATATATCATATACCAGTATCAGGGACGGATTAAGGCCATCTTGTGGATCTTCCGGAAGACGGTCAGATTTCCAAGTTTACATTAAGGGGCATTTAATTTTTTGGTGTCAAAAATGGAGGATAGATCAACAAAAATAATTTGAACTGTCAGAAAATATATTCTCTGAATATGTAACACAAAAAAAATTTTGGCATAAATCTTCTGTACCCTCTCCTACCTGAACTACTTTCCCATGGTAATCCTCATTGAAAACAATCTGTTGTTGATACAGAGGATCCAGCGTTCGCCTGGCAATGATGGTCTTCTGCTTTTCAGCACAATTCTTTCCTTCCATTAAGTACACTTTCACATAGGGGGCTAAAAATAGAATGAAAAATGATAATCTTGTCTGCCATCTTGTCATAGTTTGCCTGTAGTTTATACTTGCTGGTAATGGTATGATTGAGCAGTTGAACTATCAGGTACTACTTGTAGTTCATTTTTTGTACGTATATGATACAGTCAATAGCATAACCTAAACCTTTCTTGTTTAATAATAGACACACGTTGCTGACTTTTATTTAAACAGGTCTGAAGTAAAAACAAGTTGATTCAGGAATTATCCCATCACTTCCACTTGAGCCCGAGATATGATTAAGCTAGCATAGTAGCTACAGAAAAACAGTTAACAAGTACCAGCACATCCAGTACCATGTAGGGTTTCGAAATTAACTTACTCCAACTATACAGTCATGTAACTATGTAAGATAAGTATGATTATATAATTTTTATGCTCACTAGCCAAAGGTAATTGCCCACCTGAAAAGGCATATTAAATTACATACCTAATTGCCCAATGGGCTACGAGGCTTTAAATTTTTGACACAGTCTATGGTGTCATATGAAATGGTGTGTAGCAATGTCAAGTCGAAGTTAATTCACCTTACTGGCATTACCTGGTAATATCTTTGCCCCACTTTTCTGCTGCAAACCCCTCGCCCTGATGACCTCAACCTCCAGGTGACCTTTCTTTTCGCTGAGACTGAGCTGGATATCACCCAGACAGGACAGCCCCAACACCTGTCGGCCAACTAACTGACCAGGTCCGAGATTGTCCACAAAGTCCCCAAACTGACCCTCTGGGCCCACTCTCATGCCTTGGGGAAGCCACATCCTGAAGTAAAAATTGTTCATAACTTCCCTTAGAAACTTATCAGGCCTGCCACAAATTTGTGGCAAATTTACATCAAATTAGCTGCAATATTGGTGCAAACTGCAATTTCTTCTTGCAAATATGCTGCAACATGGCTGCAAATTAGCAGCAATAGAATTTTTCTTGCAAACTCCTGCAAACTCATTGCTTCAATATTTCCAACAATTAACAACAAACATACAAGAGAAACCATACCTTTAACTGAACCTAGAATTACCGTTCACACCCAAGTTTTTGAATTCTATGATCTACTTACTGAATCACTCTTGGAATGGAGACAGTGGTCAGTCAGTTTCATTCCTGATGGTACATATTTCTCTGTTTGCTGTTTCTTTCTAAAAGTTTCCTTTACTACTTTGCAAATACAATTAAAAAGTTCCCAGTACTTACGAAGATGAATCGCTGCTAATGCTCCCTATACTTCCATCAGTGGAGTCCTTACTGGCCTGCTTGATCATACGCCCTCGGAGAGGTGACTGTGACCCATGACCCAGCATCATTGCCATCTGGTCGCCATGGCTACCCATGCCACCAAGGTTACCTGGGGGAATGGTTCCTATTTCCTCACTGCGTTGAAATGTACTTTTACTTTTGGATTTTTTGGTACCTGAATCTGTGGAAATAAATAAAATTTCAAGGTCAGGAGTTGGATGTTAATAAGACCCTTGTTTACATTTAACAGGATGTTTACTGATGCAAATACACTACATACTGACTTGAATAATCTCAACTGCTTAATTTTTTACCTCTATTTGTATGACATACGTATATTTCTCATACCAGTACTTCCATTTAACTCATAAAATTCAATTCCTTTACAAAAACAATATACCAGTACTACTTAATTTGTTTACTTAATAATATCAATTAAAATATTCATGTGAGTAAATCAAATATTGTGCTTCATTACAACACTCAGTTGCAGACGACATTGAAATCAACCAATAGACACAAAGGTCACACCAAGGTCACAAGAAGATCAAAACATGTCACTCAGCACTTCTATAATAAATGGGGTAAGGGGGGAGGGGTTGAAACTAAGAGGTGGGTAACTTGATAACTCATATTAAAATTAGATGCTTTTGTTTAAAGTGTTCTATATTTTTTGCACACCAATTATAAAATTTTCTTTAGTGTTTAAATACAAGGATGATGGATATATAGCTGCATAAAATAAAAGCAGTCAACATTAGCTTTAACACATTTCCTGAATATCAAATTGACATAAAGATCAAGGCAAGGGTTGCAAAAGGCTGTGCGTTTTTTCTTTTTTTTCTCTCTCTTTAACAACAGCATATTCTTCACTAAAACAAAAGAAAAAAAACTCTGAATATTTTCTGTTGGGTTTAACTTACTGGCCAAAACAGATCATCAAAAAAAAAAAAAAAAAAGCCAATTAAAAGTCATGTAAAATATCACACCAAATCTACAACTACAATTAGTAATACACACATTATGAACCATCTCTAATAAAATCTAGCTAAAAATTGAAACATTACAGGTCTAGCTTTTAAATATTAGATAATAAAGACTAAAAGCACAACTTAAAGAGCTATAAGTGGCAACTTACTGCTTTCAGTTATAAATAAAGATTAGAAAATCTGATAAAGGGCACACGAAGTTAAGTTAAAAAGGAATAATATATCACAACCAATTTGTTCAAACTGTTGAAAATTAGTTCAAAATAGAAAAGAAAAACTGTCAATCATTAATGCTTAAGCTCTGTTTTAGATGTTCTAATATCAAACTACCTACATGTAAAATATAGTGATGTTATATATATAATAACTACCAATTTAAGCAATTGTAAGCAAAAAAAAAAAAAAAAAAAACAACTGTTAACGAACAGTATATTCTAAATAAATGTTTTCAGTGTTCTAAATGTTTTTTAATATGTGCTGCAAATAAAATTTAAAAAAACTCTTCACATAATTTTCTAAAAATCAATGCTGCACCAATAAAAGTTATCACATGGATAATAGCATAAAGCAACTGCTACTGTAACTTATTAGACAGCCACAGCCCTTCATTTTTTGCACACAAAGGTGCCATTGCCCAAAACAGAAAAAATATCCCTGCATGCAACAGAGCTAGCATTAATGATCTCAATTCAGAGTAGTACCAACTCCCAGGCAAATTTAAATTTTATTAATTACTATTATTTTATTTTTCAGTGTCAGAGTCTCTCTCTTCTGAAATTTATTCTAGGCTCATTCCTAATATAGATCTGCTGGCTTAAACAGGAAATTAATTAAAAAGGGGAAACTACCAAGTCCAGATATTAATTATTCATGTTTGAAACTCCTACAATTAAATATTTTCCATTATTCATTTTGTATAAAGTGATCCCTAGATCTTTGCAACTGAAATGCTCTTAATAATTGCAGATTACTTGTGAAAAGCAGGATGCAAAGCAGACTTATTACCTGTTCCAAAGCAGCCTAACTCTTAGCGTGTTGCTTGACTTTGGGTGTGCAGCCTAACTCTTGGCGTGCTGCCTATCTCTAAGCTTGCTAACAGCACTTGACTAAAAGCCTGTAGTAAATACTGTCTAACGGACTAACTTGCTATCCAACTTTTGGATTTAAATGCAACTCTACCTGAGTTTTTGCCGAGAAAAGAGCGAAGTGTTTTTCCTTTCATTTTCTTAGCTCTCTTTGAATTATCATCTGCTGAAATATTACAGAAATTTGCATAAAATTTTCACCTCTTTTTCTTAAATTCATCTTTGGCAGTGCTAAATGGTGTGAATTTCAATGAGCCAAATTTTAATTATAATTAATTTGTATAAAATGGTACTGCACTTGTATGTGACAGCAAGAAAACATCAGAATGGAGGGGGGGGGGGGTGCACAGACTATAACATAACCCACAGCAAGTATAAGTGATGTTCAATTTTCAAATTTAAATTTATAGCTTAACTCAATTTGTTTTGATTATGGTATAGCAAGGGTATTATACAATTCATTTAACAACTACAGCATGTATGTGTCATCTTTCATACCCTTTTATCAAGAATTCCCTTTTAAAGAATTAAGTTTTAAAAAATTGATATATTTTCTTGTATCACGTTTTTGGCCGCAATAACTGTGATAAAATAGTGCACTTCAACTGCCACTCCACCAAACATGAAACTGACAACAATGTAAATATGGAAATTCTTGACCAAAACAATCTAGGAAAATTGGAACTGCTTGTAAACATGGCCTAAATAACACACTCATAAACAACCAGTGGTGAAAACTTGTAAGAGCTACAAGTAAGATGTAGGAACATTCATTTTCATTTCTTTGCAAGGGGAGGGAGAGAAAGAGGGAAGATTTCCTTCAATAACAACTGGGTTTCAAGCTCAGGTAGGTGAGGGAAAAACATGACCTACATGAACAAATTATTCCAAAAATTGGAATTGTGTGTACACATGTAATTTTTAAAATTTAGATACACCCTTGTACCAGATCAGAAGGAACTACTAGTACATGGCACATGGGGTATAAATATACGATGTATCATTCTTCAGAAGATATGTTGCCTAGCTCAATATAATAGTGATTCCCACTACTACTGACACTAAATCTGACACATTGAAGATACCCAAATACTTCTTCATACCCGTAGCCGAGAGCTGGGAGGCGCTGCTACTCTTTTTAGACAGCCCCATGAGAGCCGCCATCTTAACTCCAATGCTAGGGCGCCTCTTACGTCTTTCTGTCATCCCCGAGGAGACGGCAGAGTCTGACATACTGCCATCTGCTTGCTCGCTGGAGTTCAGATCTCCACTGCTTTGGGTTCGGTTTACATTCCGCCTGGATGGTGGTCCACGACTCTCCATTTTAGATGCAAACTCACTGAATAAAGATATAATATGAGAATAATTAAATAAACAAATATGCAATGTTTTGTAACCAGCTGTGCCAATCACAAACAATCTAGCATTGATGCAGTTGTTTTGTCTCATCTTCTACAGGTAGCTATGTAATGTTGTTAAAGATGCATTGACTCATAGATATGAAGCAAGGTTACTCACTTGAAATAAGAAAATAAAAGATTTACCTTTAAAATTTTCATTACCAGCATCTTCCTTACCTTAATTTCCTACGGGGCTTTTCTGACTGTGTTGACCTCACGCTGATGGTGCTGACCTTTGACATCTCCGACATGACACTCGTCTCCGATCCATCACTGAGCCAGGGTTCATCTCCCATCTCTCCACCATAGGGATCTGTTACGAAGCATAGTAATTAATAAATACACTGACAAGTAGCCTTTCCACATTGAGTGATCTATGTTTTTTTGTATGGCACCAGTTAGAAGTATTGACAAAGAGCGCATTCAGAACAGCAGACTTTCAAATCCACTGACCAAATATGGCTGACCTACTGGAGTGCTTGGTGCATAATTCCAGAGGGGAATCTATTCAGCATTTAAACATGAATTAAGTGGCAAGCTTTTTAGTGGGTTGGCATATTTGATCCACAGATCTGTTAGTCCGCTGTTCTGAATGTGCTCTTAGGACCATTCATACTGGCATTATACAGGAAACTGTACTGCTTGATGTCAAAAGGGCCTTATTTCATTTACTGTTAGGCTCTTATTACTACATTAGTTAAGTGGAATCTCATTAACTTAGAGCATTTATTTTTAACCATTAGTCTATTCTAATTTAAAAAAGGTGAAATCTCTTGCTTTAAGATATAATAATGAAATTTCCCATTTGCAGAACCCTATAGTCTACTTTTAGCATGGAATACAAAGTTGTTCCACTGTATCAAAAATGAAATTGTCTTCTGGAAATAAGTCATGCTATACAACACTGTGCCGTTTCACAATAAGTCTTGTTGCTAAACTTTGCTTAATTTATATTACCTATTACCTAAACTTGACCAAGAGCTTTTAAAAGTGATGACCTAAAAAGATGTATTTGGAATGGGTTGCTTTCACCACTGGGAGTATACAAAATTAAATATGAGAATTACTCAGAGGAACTACTTAAGAGACAGAAGCTGGACAGCAAAGCTAGCAAATGTACAGATACTAAACTGCAAAAAACATTGCAACAATATTCACATAAAAAAAAAAGAAAAAAAAACTTTTGTAAAAATATTTCAATCATGCAGATTTTCAAAAGGAACCTACAAATTTGAAATAAAACAAAAAATACTGTTTAATTTACAATTTTTGTGAAACATTGGTATGAAAAATGCTGCATAACTTTAGTTCTCTCTTAAGACTCTCTAAATGGATCTGTACAGAAACTGTAATACAACTCTTCATGCATGCCTGAAAGCTTCACAAGATGGAATGTTTGACTCTATCTTTATTTCTTGCCACATGCTTGAACCATTACTGGCTTTTGCTGGGGAGGGATGGAGGAGAAAACTGTTATAATGATATTTTTTGTTGTTGTTAAAAAAGGGAAGCAAATGTGTGCATGAAAAATGACAGGAAAAAAGAAGCTGCACAATGAAAATAACAGGACAGATGATCTCTTCACTTTGTAGCAGGTTACACAGGAAATGTAACTGTTGCAATAAATACATACATTTTCTTTTTTACATCTGTCCATGAAAATCTTACTTTCATGATTACGGTATATTTTAGAGTATTAAAGCTAGTATGCAAAAATAAAACTTGTGAATTTTTTTTACAATAGCTTCTGGCAAAAAGATCAAGGGCATACCAAATGGCAATATGCCTTAGCAAAAATCCAGTATGGTGCATTACTAGGGCCAATTGGCAATCTTCTTGGATTTTCATCTCAACTGTGACATAAACATACCATGCAAGTGTCAAAAAATTATGAAACAACATAAGAAAAACCACACACTGGAAGCAAACTAAAGAGGAGATACCATGGATCCTGCGTGTACGTGTAACTTCTCGAGGTTCCCGACCTTGCATTCGACCTTCCCGGTAATAACGGTCCATGGAGGACTCCCGTCGGTCCCGCGAGTGGGATCTGTATCCTGCTTCACTATCAGACATCCCACCACCTCCTGGCACCTTCATCCTCATCTTCATCTGTCTGGCACGCTCTTCTAGATCTTGAGTTACTGGGTTGAAGATAAAGATGAAAGACAATTATACTGATGTTTTTTTCTGCGAGAAGTACTTTTGGCCAGGAAAAGCTCTTCTTTGAATTAAAAACTTTGTATATTGAGTTTGATTTAAAAGTAAAAAGTTCCACTTAAAAAATACCCTCCCTCTTTTAAAAATGCTGTTGACCAACCTGACTTTACATATTTTATGGTGATAATAATTTATATATAACCTGATTTTTGCACTATGAAAAATTGACCTAAGACAATAACACTAAACCCTAACTCTTTCCCCCACAGACAATAAGTCACTTTGACATTACAAAGAGATAAGGATGATTTACCCTTAAATATACGTTTCTGCCAGTCAGTGATCAAACATATTTGAGGCCATCTTGTGCTATTGTTCAGATTTTTACCCAGCTATTACAAATATTTATTTCAATGTGAGTAAATAGTTTAGTATATTCAGTTTATTCAAGCCACTGTAACGCAAATACTCTGAATGAGGATGACCAAAGTTAAGCTCGTTACTTGGGATGTCACTATCCAAATTTACCATAAGGCACCTAAGTTCTGTGTGTTAAGTCAAATGCAACCTGGGTATTTGCAAAGTGACAAAACCATAATACAAAATAAAATGTGCTGCTTGTTTACTATTTTTTTATTGAACAGAGTTGAAAATCACCAGCTGTAAGTGTGACTGTGTTATTCAAAGTACTTAATCCACAAACACTTTTAAGTAAGAAAACATTCATTAAAATGAGGCCAGTCCAACATTTAAGCCAGCAGACCACAATATTTAAGGTGAAGCCACTCCAGCTGTAGAGTGAGATTATATATTCAAAGTGCGTTCACTCAAGGTTCTGAGGCTACAGTGTTTAAATGAGGCCTTCTCCAGCTTCAGAGTGAGACTACAATATTCAAAGTGAGGTCACCCCAATTTCAAACTGAGACTACATCATTCAAAGTGAGACAAATTTAGCTTAAATGTGACACACATGGTGTGATCTTTTCAATGGCACTGAAAAAATCTTTCTAAATTCAAAAACGTAAATGCACACTTGTAAAATAAAGAGGTAAACCTGTAGACAGTCTGGAAAGGTAACTGGACCCTAGCATTGGCACACTGAATGCTTTCAAATGAGAAAAGAAGTTAATTTATTTTTATTTCTGTAAGACCTGACAAGATATTTACTTCAATGCAAATTGTTTTCCTTGTAATGTTTATGCAACCAAAGATATTTGCTTTCCTTTGTCTTCATTCGTGGTATCTTTTTTTCTATAACCTATACCATCTGTACTCATAAAATGTATTAAAGTATTAAATTATTTTCACAATTGCTAGTAACTTGCCTTAAAAGTCTACATGTTGTAGAAAAACAAACAAAAATCAAATCAGTCAAGTATAAAAAATCCTTGTAAAAGTCCCAGTAACTTCACTTGCTATTGAACATTCTATACAAATTGTAGCAACTTCTTGAAATAAAATTTATTTAAAAAAAAAGGGGGGAGGTTTGAGAGATCTAAAAGTAGGAAAGTAGGCATCTTTCAATGCAAGGTTTTGAAGTTGACTTTATAAAAAAACAAAAAATTAAATTAAAAAAAATCTCTGTTTCAGTCCTCCATACCTCTGTCTCTCCCTGCTCCCTGGGCCTGTGGTGGAATCTGCGGGAGCTGTCGTTTCTTTGGGGAAGGTGTACTTTGGGGGCTGGACCCACGGGTTTGGGATAAACTTCTCACCCTGGTGGAGACTTCCTTGCCTCTATAATATATAATATAATTATAAAATTAAAGCACTGAAATAAAGCAGTAAAAATATAAGATACAGATGATATAATTTTGCAGAAATAATAAGCATGGCACTTTTTCTCACAATAGGTTTCCAAAACATATTGTAGGTATGTAAAATGACTTATCATAAGTAAAATTTTCGAATTAACAAAAATCAGAGATTTTGCTGAAATAAGAAAGTTAATTATGTTTCAATATAAAGTTAAAGCTTTCAGTGATATTTGAAACCACTGGTAGATGGAACCACTTGACTTACCTCATGGCTGGGGGCGACACTGTACGGCCTCTCTCTCGCTCTTCTCTCACAGCTCTGTAATAATAAGATTATTAAATACAATAAATACAATAAATAAATAAATAAATACTGAATCTCATTTGTGGCAGAAGGTCTTCATGCCCATGTTAGAATGCCACTGTAAAAGTACAGCTAGCACAGATCGTTAAGAATAAATTAAAATATTCCTTATTTTGAAAAAAAATTGTTAATTGCACAAGGCAAAAATAGATATTAAGTCTATAAAAGAAAAATGTCACATTTTATTTGAATAGAAAATGAAAGATTCCAATTACTATTGTATAGTTTTTTACAGTGCATATATAGTATATATAAAATACCCTTAAGACATATGGAAATATCGTCAATAGTTAAGCTAATTTCTCCTTAATTTCCATAAGAAAAGAAGTACCTGAAAGGGAAATTAAAAGGCATTTTCTGAATTCACCTGAATAGACAGGACAAAAATTACAAGCAGGCAAAGAAAACAAATGCACCCAGATCAGTTCACACATATTCAATGTTCAAACACTTCTATGTAGTTCTGAAAAGGGAAATATCTATGACAGTATCGTTTGTCATATTATTATGGATGGCAACAATAGTACCTGAAAACAAAAGAGAAAGGACAGTGAAATGTGTGAAAGAAAGACTAATAAATTCAGGCCTCTAGCCAGTAATTGCAAGGGGTGGGGGTGGGGGTTCTTTTTCTAAAAAACTTTTTACCAAAACCCCCAAATGTTAAATAGAAACCAGATCAAGTTTTTGATTAAAAGCAGATCTTTTCCCGCACGGTAAAAAAAAAAAAAAAAAAAAAATGCTCATTTAAGCCTCCCCCCACAATCTAAACACCCCATTCCTGCAGGTCTGGCTTTTAAAGAGTTCGCAAACTTTCATGCAGTTTGAAACTGAAGAGCCATCACCTAATGTTCGTGGGTTGATTCATCCTGTTCCTCTCCCTCTCTCTCCCCCTCTCTCTCTCCTCTCTATCTCTACTGTCTGTCACTCCTCTGAAACCAAAATATTTATTAAAACTTTAAAAGTACTGGTATTAAGCTTAAACTGCCAGAAATCAATTAATGGCAGGTAAATGTTCTTATAAAGGTGGAAAAGATAACATGTTATTGTACACTCTGAAAATGAATATTTAAAAAAAAATTATTATAAAAATATATACACACGGCACAGAGAATCAATATAGCTGTTAATTCTTTTTTAATTCATCATACTGCATCTGTTTAAAATAATAACTGGAAGAAACATGCAGTCAATGCAGCACTCACAAACACACANAAAAAAAAATTATTATAAAAATATATACACACGGCACAGAGAATCAATATAGCTGTTAATTCTTTTTTAATTCATCATACTGCATCTGTTTAAAATAATAACTGGAAGAAACATGCAGTCAATGCAGCACTCACAAACACACAAAATGTCTAATCAAAAATAAAGATAAATTACAGGTATAATGATCAAACCAAAATTACACTGCAGTAAACATTTTGCAATCACCTTAAGTCGAGAGTAAGATTCATATTGTTTTCTAACTCCCGGCTTCTCTCCCTCTTTAGTCTTGGGGACTGGCTCCCTCTATTGGTAAGAAAAAACTTTTCTAAGTTGAATCTAGGTTAAAAATTCTCACCACAAACTGACTAACAAAGATGTGAAAACGTCCTTTATGTGAAACAAATAGAGTAATTTCTCACTAAAATGCAAACAAACTGATATATTACTTTTCAAAATCAAATTAATATGATAGTTTCTAAAATGGAAAATGGGTTAAAATCTGTTGAGAAATCACCTCATTTCTGGAGAAACGGCCCTCATTTCTCTCTCCAGAGTTCTCTCTTCTCTTTCTGCTACCATACCCCTTGTTACAAAAAGCAAACTGAATTAAAACAATATTTCTACATAAAAACAGGACAAGTAACTTGTTAAAATATTTTTCAGTCAACTCTTACCAACAGGAGGCAATTAAAATGGAGGATTTCTTTAAAAGAACAGATAACATAAATGATGCAGTCTGAAGGTTTAGATGATAATAATAACAATTATTTTTTATAATAATAATAATAATAACAATAATAATGACAATAAATAGGTTAAATTCTATAAAATAAATATAACAAAGAAGCAGTCTCTCAAAGAAATCACCTCATTTCTGAGAGTATGTTCATGGTATGTCCTCTCTCCCATGATACATCCTTCTCTGTGTGGTGAATTCTTCTATGGACATAAAAATATGAAAACAAGCTATTAAAAAAAGTAGATTTTTCAAATTAAATTTGTATGTTACTTATGAAGTAAAATGAGCTTAATAATGATCCACTTGTTACTATTAACGCTGATTGAAAAAAAAAAAATATCCAACTCTCTTGTGATCAAAATGCATTTGCAAATAAGATGTATTGGCAAATAAATATTATAACACACTGAGAAATTGTTTGAAAAAAAGTCAATTTCTCTTGACTGCTGCCTAGTTGGAATGGTGGTATATACCGTACTGAGACAGCTGCTTTGGGTAATAAAAATAATATCTTCAATCTCCAATTAAATACAAATAGAATCTGGAATATAAAGAAACATCTCCATAAAATATCAATCCCCACACAAATCTAGCAAAGTCACCACAAAAAAAAATAATAATAAAAATAATTATCAAAAAAATGAATAAAATCACCTCACTTCTGGTGATATCATTTCCTCCAGAATTCGATTTTTTCCTCTCTCTGCTACTATTCCTCTGAAAGTTAAAACTATAGCCCTAACTACAGACTGAAGTACAACTTTAGCATAAAGTAAGCTCATAATTGATCAGAATCACTTTATTCATTAATAATCTGAAAACCTCTTGAAGCAAATATCACTCTAAAGGTGTGTTCAGACAGGTTTGCTTGGACCAAAAACCAACCAACTTTCACCAAGAGAAAACCCTATTGACTGCTTGGATAAATTAGTGTTTGAGATACAATTGTGTCACTCACTATACTTATGAATACACCCTGTGGTGTCAAAGACACCAACATACCGGATTCATAAACCTGGATGCTCAGCGCCCCCCCCCCCCCCAAATCAGTCCATTCTGTCCCTGTCTGAACTGACTTCCAAATTCTACAGCCACCACTTTATTCAGATGAATAACAACTAGACTAGTCAAATTCAACATGTATTGCAGTCCATTGCAAAATAAGTGTCACTTTGTTATACCTCACTTCTGATGGCAAGATGGAATTTTCTCTTTCTTGCAAAAGTTTTCTCTCATCTTGGTTGGCATGGTGAGCTCTGAAACATTTTTCTTAACATGAAACCTTGCAACAAATGCTTGAAAAATAATACTATATATCCTCAGCATAACTTGTTTATAAATTACAAATAATATAATGTAATATAATATCACATGAATTTTTTTCAAAAGAAAAAAATCATCATGATGAACCATGCACAGCACTTAAGTATGAGCCTGAAAAGATTTTACTTGAAAAAAAGAAAAAGAACATCCATCAGAAAACAGCACACAGAGACACTGCAACGGCTTAAATCACCTAAGCTCTGCCTCAGCTAACATGATAGCTGCCACACGTTCCCGCTGTAGCTCAATCTCTTCCCGTGCAGCTCTGAAAGAAAACCATCATCTATTAATTATATTTTTTCAGTGTGCTGAACATCTTGGATGGTCTCTTGGTTCTTAAAATCCAACTGTCTCTTTAAAAATATTTTACAGCCCTCACCTCATTTCTGAGGGTGACAACACCCTCTCTCGGTCACGACCCCTTTCACGCTCCTCCCTCAAGCCTCCGTCTGGAACTCGTTGGCGACCAGGTGATCTTGACCTCTGTTGTCTCTGGTCGTAGGCAATCTCTCCATTTCCCGTCCCCCGTGTCTTGTGCCTTCCTGCGGCATTTTCTGGAACTGTTAACGTGTCCCCAACTGAGTATTTCCTACCTCGGTGCTGAAGCTCTTCTTGGCCTAAAGTGACAGAGAAACCAGAAGTTGTCCATGAAAAATGTATCATATAATATAAACCAGTTTTTAAACTACATGTTGTTAACTTTTTTAATTCTGAAATAAACAAGTTGAAAACCTGAGTAAAAGTATTAAAAACATTCAAAAATATAATGAAGTCAAGTTAAGTAAGTGCAAGGCCAATTAATGAAGAGATAGTTCCGAGTAATATAAAATATTCCACATATGCTGATATGTAAGGTTAATAGAATGGATGTATATCAAAAATAAACCACAAAATAGCTGTGAACATAAAGCAAATAATAAAAACAGTAGCAATAGTAGCATGCTTTTATTCCTATATCACTGATACACTGTTATTTAAAATAAAACACTTATCAGAAATTGTAAAATAATTAATTACAGAAAGAGAAATTGTTCCTCTTGCACATTCAGTGAAAATTGAAGCCTGGCATTAATGTACAAAAAAAGCAGCAACATAACTGAGATAAACTACATCATAAGGTCTAAAAGAACCACAAAAATATCCCATTTCATGTTTTGGGATATATTAATAAAATAAAATTAATTGTATATTGATGCTTGACAGCATTTTGCAAAATGTTTAGATGCTGTGTAGTAAAGATGCATTACGCTTCTTTTGGATGGTATTAAAGCTGGAATGGTATTCAAGATTTACATTATTGTGAATCATAATTAAACTCTTCATTACTGGAACAGAACAGAGTGGATAAAGTGTCCTCAATATTTAGGACAATTAAAAAGGGAAGTAACAATGTATGAGACCTGATCTTAATTGCCCATTAAAATACCTCCTGATTTTTTTATTAGCATCAAGATATAATAATGAAGTAATTTCTTCATTGCCTATTGCATTAAATGGTAAAGAAAGACCAAATCATCATGCCTCAAGTCTCTTAAAACTGATTTCCCCCCAAAATTTAAACGATGTCCAAGAATTTCTCTTTCCATCTCTACCCATCAGTCATGATCAATCTAATGTTCAACCTAGCTACCCAAGCAGTGACATTTCTCTAATGGTATGTAAAGTGATTATTGCCTTTAATTTCCTACATGTATATCTTCATAGTTTTTACCTTATACCTACCCCCACAAAAAAATAATTAATAAATCTGTTAATTATTAAACAATCCCACTCAAGAATCAATGTAGTTTAAACTGCTAATAAATCTGGCAGATGTTCATCGACCCCCCCCCCAAAAAAAAAAAAAAAAAAATATCCCACCTGTCAATTATTAACCAATTCAGTATGGGACATCCTTAACATTTCATACATCTACCTGTAGGAACCATTTTATCGACAGAATTTCCTTGATCTCATAGCATAATTTCATTAACAGAAATCCAAAGAAAATAGTGGTACATAATAAAATCTAAAGTACTGTGGTGTTTAGGTTATACATTTTCTTTTTTTACCACAGATTGGTTTAGAAAAGGATTCAAAAGGAATTAATATGTTGTATTAAGGTGATATGGTATCTTAAGTTACAAAGGACAGAAAAACAAAATCCCAACTTGCGACTTGGTGGAAGCAGTTTTAAGATGCAGCAATGGAAGTTAAGCATGTGACAATGCGTTGACATTGTAAATGTTAACACAAGGATGGGGACAGACAGCGACGGGAAGCAAGCCGAGTGACAATTATGACAACAACAAATGCAGACTGCCTCACTAAAAACATGTACTATTTGCAGCAGCAATTTCACTAACACTGAAGGGTGACAAATGCAAAGTCGAATTCATCGTAGCCGTGTGACAATTAGAGGAAGCAATGTTAGTTATATATAATTAACAACTAATAGGATGGAATGTATAGTTGTTAGTATAATGAACAACTAGTGCCAATGTAAATACAGATACATAGGGGGCACTGAAACATGCAGCAACACAGTGGGGGTTTCCATGGCAACATCAAGTCAACATCCCATAATATCCTACCAGGCAAGGGAGAGGGCAGGCGTTCCTGCTCTCTTTGGGTCATTCTTTCGCTACTGATGTCTGAAAATTCCTCGCTGCCCGGACAGGAGCTACCCATGGAGCTAACGCTAGCACCATCCCCACGCCCACTATAGCCTATGTAGGGTTAGACCATGGAAAAAGTGATACCGAATTAACATTTTCAAAGAGGGGAAATGTTGGTTTCAGAACGTTACTGTAAATATTCTTTAAGTGTCTGTATGTTTATGAGGCAAATGACTGAAAAATAATTATTTGTTAAAAAAAGTGAAGCTGTCAGCATCCTTAGTCTTTTTTTTTGTCTTTAAGATTTGAACTACTTCATCATATCCATTGTGATTGAGGAAAGAGCTACAGATATGAAAAATCATTGTTATCCAAACTGTGTTATTTATTACATACTAGAACACATACAAAAACATGCCTAGATTATATAAATATATTAAAAAAAACAAGTCTAGTAGACTTACAAAGAAAACAGAAGGAGGGACTCTTTAAAATCTTAACTCAAATATAATCAGAAGTAGCTTAGACAGACATAAGGAGACTTTGAAATAAATGTTAAAATTCTTTGAATAAAATCATGAAGACCAATGTACATTCCTTATAATTTGACATTGCATTTCAATTATGTCATTAAGTAATTATATTAACAAATTAACACACATGCACATACGTACACAGCATCACATTCAAAAAATTCTCTTTCGAACATTAAATCAATATTTTTATTGCAACTAAATATGACCAGACATCTTTGTTTTAAATCAGTCTACACCTTTATATAGCAAAAGATTATGATGACTAAATCCAAAGAAATTCTTGACCAGAAAGTTTTCATACATCACAGTGACCATGGAATCGGAGCACCCTATCCAAAATTGCTGACCAGTTTTTGAGGGCTTTATTGCTAATTCGATGATTCTCAGTGAGGGAGGCACAATTTCTTCATGCCCATTGCAAAAGCATTAAAAAGTCTATCATTGGCCATATTTTAGACAAAAATGCAAATAGACAAATGAATGTCATTCCCAAAATTTTTTCAAAAAGTATCACTTTTTCTCTCATAACAATTACGACTTCTGAATCAACTTTGCGGGTCATTAAAGGATGCCTTTCTACTCTTCTTCCCACCTCATTTTTCTCTATAACACAAAATTTTGGACTTTCTCTCATCATGCTGCAGAGTTCGGGAAATTTATAATATTTATAATTTTACAAACATGCTGGTTTCCTTGTAAACAAGTGAGGCTGCATCTACTGTAACTGTTCATGTCACTGGCATCCAATACTATTGTAGCACAATATCTAGACCAATGAAATATATGGGTGCTGAAGGGCTCAACAAAGTGACCATTTTACATGGACATAATACTGACCTTCTAAGACATGAATTTTCAATCTAATCACAATGGTGTCATGCTTTCAGTTATTATTAATATGGTGCTACACAATAAACTGGAACAGGCACAGAGAATTGTGATCTTTATTTGTCAGATAATAAAGTTAGGGTACTGTAAGCTTCAAATCATTTCCGAAGTCTTTGCTTTTTCCTTATTTTTATTATATCTTATTATTTGTTTATGCCCTTACTTGGAAATGAGGTTAATGAGATTTTTACATTTCAAAATCATTGAACATCACCTAATTCACGCAATATTATTAATGAAAAAAAAAAAAAAGACAGTGAGTTTATCTGTACTACATTGACCAAATTATATCAATGTTGTCTAAAAGACAGAGGAGAGGACACATCACCAAAATTTGGGAGCAAGCACCCAGACTACTTCCTAAGAAAAGCAGATTAAATTAGTAAAACCCAACCAGAGATGCAAAAATGACCATCAATCCCCATAAGTACAAATATGTATTACATTCATATTTTGGAATTGTCAGCAAAACTGAGATGCATTAATTAATAAGCTTAGTGTTAAGTATTGTATGTCAACTGACTGTGACAGATGTCACATGTCAAATGACACACTTATGCCACATGCTAACAGCTTTGTGTGAGCCATCACATGAAAAATTGTATCATATCATATCAAATGACAGATTTCCTAGATGTCACACATCAAATGGCTGTACTTGCCAGATGTCATGAATGAATGTCAACTGTCACATGACTAATTGTGTTAGATGTGACATGTCCTTACCTGACACAACTCCTACACTGTCATCGTAATCTGAGATGTCACTGTCGGTGTACGGTAGACCCCCACTTCCAGGCAGGTCATATGGATCCCCTCTTCTAGACTTCTGCTGCTTAGATAATTGGAAAAATACTGTAGAATTTCAGTAGTAATTACAATCTCATAGACTTCTGAGGCTTAGATAAATGTAAACTAGAATAAATTAAAGCTTGAAAGGATACAACTTTTAAAATACTTTGATACAATTTAATCAATAAATGTCATAGTATCCACCCTGTTAATATGATATATTTTTTTAATAAAAAGTACAAAAAGTTGAGCCAAATATAGTGTCAATCATCATGTTAATGTAGCCAAAAGCTGAGGCGAAAACATTGCAATAAAATATAAATGACATGTGATGTAACGGGGGCGGATTTAGGCCGTCTTCTGGGTCTTACTGAAGACGGTCAGATTTTCAAGTTTACACTGACAGGTGTCTAATGTTTTCTGACGGAAGACAGTCAAAATGGAGGATGGATCAACAAAGATAATTTGGAAGACTGTCAGAAAATATCTCTGGATCTGCCCCTGTGTAACTTACCCCGCGTGGTGTTGATGGTGTGGAGGCCTCCTCTTCTCTACGACTAAGAGGATAGAAGTAAGGTTCATCTGTAAGGCAGGCACTTGACAGCTCTATTAGCACCTGAATTAAGAAATGTTTTATTTAGTCTGGTGGTTTTTTCTTCTCTACAAAAAGTGGGGTTGTGACGCGATCTTTTCAAAATTGGGGAAAATTGTGAATTTTACAGATACTGAATATATTTGAGTCATAAATCTTTAAGATTTAAACACTCCCACTGAAATGGGAAAACTGAAAAACAGGCTACCTTATAATTCAATTTTATTCAGCAAAATCACCACAAATGCTACAAAGAAACATTATTGTACTGCTTACAAAACAGTATATTTGAAAATAAGTCAATAATGTAGTAATATGTGCCGGAAGGTGATGTGGCGCGTCTTGGTCACGTGATTTGGTAGAGAGGGAAAAAAAATCGTGTGACAGGCCATGTCAAGTGAAAGGTACTATACAACATTCCGCCATAATAATTTCACATGAAGCTTTTGGTTTTATTCATGATCAAATTACATTGAATCACAACATTTGGCGACGAGGATGAGATTTTTCTCCATTGAAAAGATCCATACACAATCTCAGACTACAGTTGTATCAAATAAAATGTATATCTCCAATAACTTCACAATTATTATTTCTCATGTTATCTACCTCTCCAATTAGTTCACTATTCCTATTCCTAGAGTAGTTCCACACTTAAATTTCACCCAGCTTCCCACATTACATTTACCTCTCCAATTAGTTCACTATTCCTATTCCTGGAGTAGTTCCACACCGTCACCTCCAGGGCGCGCTTGTGGAAGTCAACCTGTCGCAGTCCTGGGAACACGAAGGTCTCGTTCCAGGTGGGTTCCACAGTATGGGCTACAGGTTTAGTCTTGTGGGGGACTTTAGCACTGGAAATAAATCAAAATTAATTAATATATTAATTAAAAATAAGTGAATAAGATAAATAAATAAATAAGTTAATTATTAAGAGACTGTCAAATAACCAACAAGCAGTGTAGGTTTGTCTAGTGAGTTTTGCTATATATTTCATTTTTTTCTACATACTAGTACAGAACAAAGTTTAGTCATCTCTACATAAGGTCACTCAATGGCACTTAACCTGTGACCTTCTATCAGAAATCATGCAGACTTTTAGAGTGGTTTTGGCAGAGTGGCCACTTAGTAGCCCAACTACATGAAAGACATGGCTAGCTTAAAAGAAGAGGGTAAAACAAGGGAAAGAGTGGGCAAAATTTAATTACCTTCTATCTGGAAGCAGGTAGACTTTCACAAAGGGGTTTGGCGGAGTGGACTGCTCTAGACACGGCAGTTCAATAGCACTGAGAATGGTGACTATCAGCTGTTCATTTCGGCTCTCGTACCACAACTTGATCTGCAGAGAGAAAGAAATCAAAGTCACTCAGGATTCATTTACATTCAAGGTGTACATGTATGTTCTGATTCATCCACTAGTAATTTCAGTAAAATAAACAAAAAAATAGAAACACATGCTCACATGCATACAGATGGTATAAAGTTTAATATATTTCTCATAATAAAAACTTAACTTAATGTATCCTATTTGAGAATTATCAATTACCATAATTCTTTAATTATTGTCTATGAGCTCAAGTCATGCACTTGACAATTCTTGATAAAACCACTGAATGTGCTAGTTATGACACCATCTCTATAGCCACAACTTGCACATTCATGAACCTCTCATAGCTGTGCTAAAAAACACTGAATGCGTTAGGTGTGACAGTATCTCTACAGTCACAACTAACACAATCAAACTTCTCACAGCTGTGCTATGAACCACAGAATGCGTTAGGTGTGACAACATCTCTCAGCTAACACAGTCTGTGACATACCTGTATCTGGCCACAGGGCAGCGGTGACACTCTGCGAGGACTCGTACCAGGTGACCCAGGTGAGGTGATCGAGATACTGGGGCGTTTGTGACGCAGAGAGGCGGATGAGGGCTGATCAGGATAATCTGGAACGAGGTAAATGGTACTCGATTCAAAATGAAGCATTACAATATGACTAAATATAATAAATTGTAATGATGTATCATAAAATGTGGAAAATATAAAATAGATATATATTACCTACAACAGGTGGTTTATGACTAATAATGAAACAGAAATATTATTATTTATCAAACACTGGATAACATAAATAAAACCAATGCATTGTTGATTAAAAATAGGGGTATCACATATCGGATAATTTAAAATACATAGTGGTAAGCACTGTCATTGTTAAATAGAAACGGTTTTAATGATTTAAATATTTCATGCTACAAATAAAATAGGGGTATTGTTATTGATAATGAAATGGGGGTGTCACAATTGACATACTGAACAATATAAATAATAAATAAAATGGGGGCATTGCACTCAAGGTGATGAACAAGGGAAAAAAGGTCAATCACCCTGAAAATAAGGCACAATCATAATAATTTCCTTTGAATTGCTGACTTCAACCTTTCATCAATGAATCCGTAACGAATGCATTGCTGCAAGTTCTTTGGTTGTGAAGGTTCTAATATTAGGATATTTATCATTCAGCTGTGTTTACTGGAAATCATCTCTGCTCTGGCAGATCTGGGGGGAGAGAGGAGGGGGGGGGAGGCAAAAGAATCTTGAATCTTGACTGAGGTTGAAGGAAATGGTACCATATCCTGTAGGACATTATTGTACAAAAAATGGTCTGATGCCACTCATGGTCATTATTTTACTCTATTTTCTTTATTTTTATCTGGATGAGAGAGGAAACGGGGCCATCTCAAAAGCTGCCTACTGTCCAGCCTATACCTACTGCAATGGCAGATGCAGGGTTATTTGGGAGAAGGGTCTGGTTTTTAGAAATGACAGGCTGCGGATGCCCGCCCCTGACACCCTTCTATAAATCTGCCACTCCACTGATACCTTCTGTTGCCAAGCTCCTCGTATCAGTCACATATCTTATTGGTAAACAGGTCCAACACATCATCAGTAATCTCCCCAGCACAGCTGTCAAATGTTCCTGCGTGCCAATTTCTCAGGGAAAATCAATAAGTTTATTACCCGTAGCAGCAGACATGCATCAGAATGTGTCCAAATGTGGCCGTAAATGGTTTAGGGTTAAATTATGCCGGTGTTTTCGCACCAAGAGTTCTCTGTTCTCAAGCCTAAGGCCAAATCAAAACCGAGCTCACATGCACTTGTCTCCAGTGCCAGACAATTTTATGGTTATATACATGTATTGCTTGTAAGACTTGAACTAAGATGAGTAATCAAGTGACCATCAACATGAAAATGTCCAGTAAGTAAAATGTCCTGTTACTAAAATGATTGGGGAAGGGAAGGGAGGGGGTAATGCCTGTAAATAGTTTTAACTTTTGTAAAAAAAAAAAAAAGTTCTGTTATAAGAGCATGTTCAATGACTGAGGCTGATCATGGCTGGGTCATATTACTGTTACTCTTGTTTTCAGGACACAGACGAGAACGCATTAAGTTATCCTCAGTAGTCTTCAAAGGGATCGTTTATTTGATAGATGAAGCGATTAAGGACACACGAGCACTCAGAAGAGGTTCAGACCTTACGAATAACTTCATATAACTTCTCCAGAGTCATGTATGATCAATTGTAGCTATCAAAATGACTGTGTATGTGAAATACAGAAATTGTACCAAACAAATACATGAGAAAAATTGTTCAACTGCTACTAGCTTTTGTAACACAATGCTGATGAGTTCCTCATTAATTTTATAAGTAATGTAAATAATCATAAAAATGAACAATGAAGTTGAGAATTTAAACTGTAAAATGCTCTTGTGGTCCTCAATGAATGTTATAATAATAATATAATAATAATGGTTAATGTTACTTATATGCCATGCCATTTGGTTATGATCAAGCTCCTCATGAAGCAAGCCTTGTACACATTTCCCTCAACAAAACCCTGGCTTTCTGAGGTAACTGAAAATTCACCCCAACCCATCAAACTGAAAACAACACTGGCATACTAATAATTAACAGAGGGTACATTTCCAGTTACCTATTAAACTCAGGGTGTTATTGGACACAGCAGATACATGTAAGTGTGGTTATAATAGAGAAAGTTGTCAGGTCATGCAGGTTAAATAGTCATTGAGTCATATTTCACATACTAAATTTTTAAAAGTTTAAATCTATTACTGGACTGAGACTATATTGTATTTCCAGTAAAATTGAGAAAACCCAGTTGCATATATTTTTTAGTTTTCAGACTGAAGATAGTAATTACTATATACTGTAGGGCCATGCATGGTTATGGTTATTATACATGTATGGTTATTATACATGTATGGTTATGTTCTAAGGTTATCATACGGCTATGTCATAAGGTACATAAGTTATGGATATTACATAAGTGTTAAACAGGCTCATAGCCATGGAGGTTAGAACAAGCATACTTTTTTGATGGGAAAATATGGTTCTAGGTAAGAATAGATCTTGGCCACAAAGATTTCATAGCAAAAGGTCCAATTAAAAAAAACCTTTGAAATAGCTGACTTCGAGTCTGTTCTAATTTTAGAGCAGTCTAGACGGTTATCAAGATGCACATAATTGGAAGTTGGAACTAGACAGGAAGGATAATTACATTGGGTTTAGTATCTAGACAAAACGACAAGATATCAAGAAAGATCCTCAGCCTGTTAAACTAAAAGCCATCTCTTTATAAAACATTCCAATAGATTGGTTTTAGTTGCATGTGACTTTGTGCACCATATTGTTAGTCAGCAAAGTGGGGGATTATATATAATTTTATTGACTCTATAGATAGACTTCAGGTTTCTATGATCTTATATTATTAGCTATTTCATGTCCTCGTGAAGAGGTTGCAAGCTAGGTTATTTCTTGTGAGTTAGTTCAGGTCCAGAGTACTATTTCATAAAAGAACTTTAGCCTGTAAAATGGTCTAAATTTTCTGATCAAAATTTTGGTTTAATTTGACCCAAGAAAAATCAGTAGAAGACCAATTAAACAAAATGATGTGTCTGTTTTAGAACCAGAATAATGTTTCAGACTTTTTTTTCAATAAACTTGATTATTATGGGAGCACCTTGAAAACAGAAGACCAAACTTTTGGTCTAAAATTTAAGATCAAATTTTAGGTTTAAGTTCTTTTGTGAGATGGGCTCGAAAAATAGAATCACAAGAATTTATATAAAAGCCATGGTTATTCTATGTGATTCAGGGGCGGATTTAGGCCGTCTTCTGGGTCTTCCGGAAGACGGTCAGATTCTCAAGTTTACATTGTCGGGCATCTTATATTTTCTGTCGGAAGACGGTCAAAAATGGAGGATGGATCAACAAAGATAATTTGGAAGACTGTCAGAAAATATCTCTGGATCCGCCCTGTGATTATCATCTAGATATATTTACCATCCTTCTACTTACCAACTGGAGTGTGTATGTATGCAGTGGAAAAGAACCAGGAATATTTTAGTCTGAAGAAATGTAAAATAGTAAGTAACAGTGTGTTTTCATTTATCCTGTTGATTTATATCAGGCTTTTTTCTCCACATCAAACTGACTTGAGTAGGATTTCACTTCACATGCCTTTGGTGAGATTTTTGTCGCCAACTTATTAGCGCTATTCAACTCCAATCAGCTGAACGAGACTTTTGTCTCTCACCCATATTAAATTGAAATGGCTGTTTTACACCAGTTTCCTTCGTCAAAGTTTCCATTTCTCACCCAGATTATGATGAAAAGGCCAATTTCCCCTCAATATTGTGTTAGATGAGATTTCTGTGTTTTGACTAAATTGAGTTGGAAAGGACATTTACGACAACCTTTAAGTGTGATTGTGTTTGATTATCATGAAAAAGACACTGTTTCAGAGGTTATAATGGAACAGAGAATGTCCACAACAATGGTAATTCCTAGATTTTTTCAAACATCTCAACTGTTGTCATTTTTTTCATTTTTGAGATTTATCAATTTTAATTATTAAAAAAAATGTATTTTATGACATAAAACCAACTTAAAATTTCTTCATCTCCATTTCCACGTCTTACAAACAGAACACTGTTTTGGAAAATACCATTAATTCATGCAGTTCAACATCAGTAAATTCTTATGGTATTTCTAAGATAAGACAAGGGAGAAACCATTTTTCGTCACACCCCCTACCTTGCCGATCCACTTTCTCTCGTTCCCTGTGTTCCCTATGTTCTCTGTGTTCCCGGTCCCTGTGTTCTCTGTCATGATTGCCATGAACCATATCAGATCTGAATAATTAAAAGAGAACATTACAGTTAACAACATAGAGGTAAACAGTGGATTCTTTAGGAAAACAAATCATGAAAATACAAGTGTTGAAGGATCCATAAAAATAATATGTCTGGGTTTATGATAATAATTAAAAAAAAAAGATTAAAAATATATATTTAATTTTTGTGTTTTTTTAAATATAACCCTGTACGAAATCTGAGCCAATGAGATTATTTTATGATAGAAAGACTGTCATATGTGCGTATATAATCCCCTTTTACAATGAGTGGTACAGTTTTCTACATCACATCAATATGAGAGATAAACAGCCTGGGAATTATATAAGAAATGACTGTGTATTATGTTACAGCTCCCAGTATGGATAACGAGTCAAACGATCCTAATCGGGAACTCATATAAATGAATAAAGAAAGAAACATAACTGCACTAACTAGCAACCATTCAATCCCAGAATGCACTTACTCTATATTTCGATGGACAATCAATTCCACCTGAGGCTCCTGTTTCGACTCCATGATAATATCGTACACGTCCTCAAATGTTGCCGCTTGTAACGACCTTCCGTTCCACTCTATGACTTCATCGCCAGGGCGTAATTTCCCCACTACGTCTGCAATGCTGCCTTTTTTAACTTTGGTTACGAATGCGCCAAGCTGGCCTCCCTCTGTCACCTTTCCTCCAACCACTTTGAGACCTGAAATTTTCAACAATATGAAAATTACGAAGCAAAAAATAATAATAAATAAATAAATGAAATGAAATGAAAATAAAAAATAAGCGCTTTTCTACAAGGAAGATTTTACAAGCATTTGTACACTTGCAGAAACATAGAAGCCACATGTACTAGGTAAAACGCATGTCTCTCCAACAATTGCGTACATCGCATCCTTCCCACAATGCATTTCACCACTACTAATACACACCGGTACATCTAAACATACCACAATAAATCAACCACAAAGTCAGCTTTGTACTATGCCCTCTTTTTAAGGAAGCTATTCAAAAAGCACAATCATTTCTATTAAAATTTTCTCTCAAATATAACCAACTCCATGCAGCGGACTTCCCATAGCTCATCCTGTGCAAAATAACTCAAATTATCCTTTATCTTGAACAAATTTCATGGAACAGATTTTTTCTTTCTACAGCTGAAATTTGTGAGGATTGTGAACAAATTTTCAGGTTACTAAGTGACATTGTTATGTGAAGTCTGACAGTCAGCATATGAAATATTGACTGGCAGAATATCTCATTCAATTTTTCTGTAGCCATTGACAAATGGATTTTTATTTGTTGATTGAAAATGCACAACTAATAAAACTGTTTCATATTATGTGCAGTCTAAGTAATGTGATAGTATATAATTTTACAATGTAGAATACGCAAAAATACATGAAGTTGGTACCTCTGATATAATAGAGCACATTAAACATTAATAACCACAATACACTGTAGGAAATAAGCTAGCACACGAGAAAACCACATCTCCAGTCCCTGAGTCACACTTAACATGCATGTTTAGCTTATTTGACAGTTCTACATGATTCTGTGCTTCACATTATACAACTTGCATAACTGAGTTGTAAAGTATGTAAAATTTAAAGGTCTAGAGCAATTACAGCACTAGATTATTTCACATGGCTTGTGCTGTTTCTAACTGCTACCGAAGTTCTACTTCTATACATGGATAACATATTAAAAGGACAACTATAAAATCTAACACATTTCCTTGTGCACTCTATCATATATACAAACTACATGTAGCACATGTACCATGGATGATAATGTGGTTTAGTGAAAAGTTGGAAAATATGGTGTGGGGTCCAGGTGGCCGCCAAGGCCAATGATATTTTTGGTTTCCAAAAAGTCGAAAATTTGCCGACAGTTAGAAAAGTCTCATCCCTACATGTACTTTACAATATCATGACCATTTGAACAGTATAATTCTTACCCAGAATTCCCCCAGAATCTTTCCCCTTCCCGTCCGCGACACCCTTTTTCAAGATCATGTGACCTATGACTTTCTTTCCATCGTCTGCGGTCCGCCAAGTGACTGGGTGCTGAAAAACATAAATAAACATGTGACCACGCAAATAAATAAACAAATGAAAATGCAGATTTTATGAAAAATAAACATTAAATAAAATGCATGTTCAAATATTTTCAAAAATTGTGCATGCTTACTTGATGGTGAAGCCTTTGCCTAACCAAAAAGTTATTTTTATGTATTCAACATTTCTATTTCTCTTTAAAAAAACCCTTTATTATAAATATTTTACTGCTACTTTTAAATTTTCTTTTAATCTGGTAAATACATTAATTTTTTAAATAATTAAAAACAGATAGAGTGAGAACTATTCTATAATGAAGGCTGCATGCAATTCTAGAAACTGTTACAGACAAAAATTAGGGCAATTTGAAAAAACATGTGCCAAAGGCACAATAAGACAAGTCCCAATTCAGACTGAAAAACAATCCATCTTTCATCATAAAACAATGAAAACTGATAACTAGGAATAAAAAGTTTTGTGGTACAATACATTGTCTCTCTTTCTGTGACTTAAATTATGAAGACACAAGTTGGAATATTTTTTTTCGGTCTGAAGCAGTACTTGTCTGAAGAGGTCTACAGAGCTACAAACATTTCAGTCAAATTACAGCTATAAAATATTTAAAAGAAAATGAGGGGGCAGCAGACTGATGTAGACGCTTCAAGAAAATGCTCAACAAAATCATGCATACATAAGTGTATGATATAAGCTAACATTTGACAAAATGCTGTTCATTTTTTTTTTCACTATTTCATAAAATTCCAGGTACTGACATTTACATACAGCCTTCACAATTAAGTTAAATGTCATGCCAAATATCACCAACTTCCACAACATTAATGAGAACACAATATGTGTGGAAAGAAGAAGAAAACACAATATCATATGGGAACTAGAAAGCCACCTGGAAATATTGTAGTCCCTATAATGGACAAGTTCAGTGTAAAGAAATCAGAATACCAAAACGGTAACTGTTGTATTGTTCCTTTATCCCCCAAACAGGGACTCACTCATAAAAATCATCAACAGTTTTTAAAAAGAGGGTTTAATGGAAGCCTCCCAACTCCTTACCCAAAGAAAGCGAGAAAAAAGTGCCAAATTTTATTAAAAATACCCCTAGGGCTTAGTTTGCAAATTGCAAGCAAATTTCACAACCAAACACAATGCTGAAGTTGCTAAATTGTGCTAGAGAAGACCAATGCATACATTTCTTTGCTTTTAAATTAACAGGAAAACTGGTGCCAAAATGGCAGGTGAATTTTGTACATCCTTTTTGAAATAACAAATCTGTAATTAAAGATACTTTACTTAGATCTTGTAAGTGTATGCACTCAAATGTGAATGGTGAGATAAGGAAATTGCTTCAGTTCAAAAACATCCATTCAAAAAAGTGATCTATGAGCAGTATGCATTGTAGAACCCACTGAAGAAAAAAAAAGAAAACATTTTCAGTATCCCCTGCAGTTTTCTCCCTTAATACTGATATGTTCATAATAAAAACAAATGGTACAAATTATCATACGTTGACAATAAAGGAATATACAAGTAATATTCAACCAACTGACCATAACATATAAAAAATTATGTACTGTACGAAACTTAATGTACCATATGATTGTAGTGTTAGTCTAAAAATTCCAAAACCAACCTAAGAAGAAAGCAATTTGAGGTTTTTAAAAAAGCAACAGTGTTACACTACTTATTTCAGATTTGTACAGGCATTAAACTCTTGAGTAATACAAATTAACTTCCATACAAATTTGAAACTTCTTATAGCACACTGCTGCTTAGATTTGCAATTAAGAAGTCCCAAGAATAAAAATCCACCAATCTAGCAACTATTTCTATGCTACCCTACCGGGGATACTGAAACTGCTAAAAGGGGATATTGAAACTGCTGGTTTTCCCCACACCCAATGGTACTGTGTACCTTAGTGCTGTCTTCATATAGAGTCTGATTACTGCTTGACAGACCAGTGTCAATTCCAGAGTCTTTTATAGGCACTTCAGACCATCTGTGATCATTCCGATCATTCCTCATGTGACCTTGGCCTAATTGACCTTCACCTTGACCTAAACGGCCTTGAGACCGACCTCGACTGCTCAAGGTCACCCCTTTCTTTTGCATAGCATGTGAATCTGGGTTCGGATGGGTTTCTAGTTCCCCTAAAATGAAAGTGAATAATCAAAAGAATAGGACAGAAAGCTTATAGGTGGAACAAAAAAATAATACTGTAACACAGAATGTGCAGCGCTGGGAAGTTTTGGCACCTGGCCAACATACAGGGTGCAGAAAAAAAATTCCCGTCAAAAGAAACTTTGTCTCCTGAAGTGGAAATTACTTTTGACTCCCTCCATAAATCTGACAATTCCCTCCTCTTTTGGGTATGTGACCTGGGATATACATTTCTTTTTATTGAAATGAATGTTGTTTTTGATGCATCCATTTTTTAGAAGGAAAAGTGGTTGCATGGTTGGAATTATTATAACAAAAATGATTCATGCATAGCTGGAAGCAATAGAGGGATCACGCAGAGGATTCATGCTACTACAAATATTGTTTTTCTGATTAATATAGCATATCCCTACAACCCCCAAATAAAAAAATAAATAAATAGTGCTCTACTGAGCATGAGTATATTAATTGCGAAAATGTGAGTCACGTCAATGTGACCTAGGTATTGGAAGTGATAAACAGATTCTAATTTCCTGTCAAGCTCATTTGTGAGAGCTCTCACTAATGAAAGGTCAGTTACTGGCTTAACCTACATATTATAAATTCTTTACCGTAGTTCTATACCCAATGACTACTAACATGTGGTATAAAATTGGCCAAATAAAGTTTAGAAATTGGACAAATCAGTAATTATAGTTGGTCTTATATTTCTTCATTTTAGTAGTGTTTGTTCTGAGTTATGTACTTGTTTTTTATTCATATTATGAGAAAAAAGTCAACACATAGCACTATGTTCAACATTTTTTGGCATTCAATAGATGGCATCCCATAAATCATTGTTCAAAATGGACTGTTACATATCCCAAGAAACACATGCCCAAATGGGGATCTGTGGTCTGGTATAACAACAACAGTAATAGATCTGTTCTAGCTGTAACATCTAAAACTACACCTACAGATGGTTATACTTTGGGTACCAACACTTTGCAGCAGACAGTAGACGCATTAAATGCCACAGGGAGGAAATTTCTTTCTGTTATTTCTAATGTTAGATCCATTGCAGGACATTACTTCTAATATCCAAATAAAATCAGATATCACAAATTGTATGACCATTTTTAAAATATGTTTTTGTTTGTTTGCTTTTATAGAGAATAGGAGCAACGACATAAGAGACAGAAATGAAAGGCCAAAATAGGTAAAACTGGAAGTGCTGAAAATCTTAAAAGAATTTAACTGAGCCACGCTGAATTGGGCAGGACAAGAAAAAGATTAGATAGTCTTCCTGAAGTAAGAAGTTTAATTCACATCTGCTACAATAATGGTTAATGACCCAATTTTTTTGACAAAGATATACCATCTGTAAATGTAGCTTTATACACTAAAAATGCACAAATTCCTGCTACTAAACATAAGGGAGGAAATGAAAACCAAACAAATAAAACAAGCATTCCATTCATTAACAACTCTGCAATCCGTCCCTGAGGGTTGTTTGATGTGTAACCCCTTCTCACCGCTAAAAACTTTTTAATTTTTGCTTCGAGCATTTCGTTGTGTTTCCAGTTGTCATCGTATCGGTCATACTCCCCGCCCATATGCGGCAGGTAAGGCTCTAAATACAAATTAATCTTTATATGTATAAACTGTAAACAAGTAGCATTCTGTGATATCTTAATTTTAAGTAATAGGTACAACCATGATGAATGTTTACAACATAAAAAGAAATACGGATGGAGGATATTGCATTTAAATGGGAGATAATCCATACATCACGTATGTAACTAATTTTTTTTATTCTCAACATCTCCATGGTATAACAACTGTACCATATCTATATAACATATATATATATGTATAACAGATATGTAACTGTCCTTTCAAACAAACATTCTTTAAAATAATCTAGACTATTGTAATATTAATAATCTATTTTCTAAATAATACACTGTAACGTTGATGAAAAAGTGTCGGAAGCATTGAATCCCATTCATAAATTTTAAGTCAAATCATTTCACTGTAGTTTTCAGAAACTTTTCAGTTAAGACAAATCATCCTGGAACAAATGGACAAAAAGAGTAGAAAAAAAAACACACACAAGACATTCACAATCAAGTCTCGTATCAGTATCTTGAATATTCTTAAGAATGACCAGAAAACATCTACGTTGACCACATCACACACTACAAACACATAAATGTAGTTAACTGTTACCCCTACTCCTTTTAATTAATACTTCACGCAATATTATTTGTCAAATATGACATGTTCATGATCACATCAATAAGAAACTGTAGATGATGTGATCTTCTCATAACCATGCACATGTCTTTTACGAGGGGGTGGGTAGGAGGGTCGGAGAGAACCTCTATTTCGGTCAAAAAAGGTCCTCTCTGGATCCAAATTTAATGTAAGTTCATTGTGTGATTTTAAGGCACACCAGAGTTTCTGTCCTATTTTCATTTATTTATTTATTAATTTATTTATTTCTTGATGGGGTCAACTGATCAATGGCCATGTCCATGGTTACTTCATTAGGACCCCATTCCCACAAACACCATATAGGTCTGCGTAGATTGATCCAACTCTGTGGGAACTCCTGCTGAGTGCAATCTACTCTGATCAATGGCGTCTATGGGAATAGGGCCTTAGATTGTTTCCATTTGAAGTTGTAATTGGAATCTAAGTGTTATCTAACATACAGATATTTCACTCATCAGCTGTTCTAATTTTCCACCAACCCATCGTCATATCAATCAAATACTTCAATATGCTATCAATATGAAACATTAATAAATTAACCAATCAATCATCAAAGCAACCAATCGACCATCCAACCAACAAATCAATCAATCCACCAACAAATCAATTAGTCAACCAACAAATCAATCAATCTACCAACAAATCAATCAGTCAGCCAACAAACCAATCAGTCAACCAACAAATCAATCAATGCACCAACAAATCAATCAATCCACCAACAAATCATTCAATCCACAAACAAACAAATCAATCCACCAACAAATCAATCAGTCAACCAACAAATCAATCAATCCACCAACAAATCAATCTATCAATTAATCCACCAACAAATCAATCAGTCAACCAACAAATCAATCAAACAATTAATCCATCAAACAATCAATAAATCATCAGATCAATCAACCAAACAAAAAATTTATAATTCAACCATGCTTATAATAAAATCATATTGTATTTTCCTGTTTTCAGCTATCAATTGAAGCCTTTCATTTTTTTTGTAGATACTTTCTCAAAAATATTCTAATCCTTCAACATTTGCATGAAGGCAATTAATCATCATCACAAAAAAAATTGAAAATTTTGTTTAGATTTCCACATTGTGAAGGATAGTCAAGGATTTTTTCAGGAGCAGGTTAGAAAACAATTTCATCAAATAGCCACCAAAAAAGTAAAATCCTCATGTCATGTTAATTTACCTAACTATGTATGCAAAAAAAAAAAAAAAAAAAAAAAAAAGAAATATTCCACATCCAGTTAGACCCCTTTAATGAATTATTAAAAAATGTGACAAAACATCCTGTGTAAAACAATAAAGCGAGGACACTGACGTGGGTGTTCTTCCTCTTCACAAACATCCTGTGACGCATGTTTTGTCTACGAACCGACGTATGCAGGTTTGGAGACATTATCAAATGCTGGTATATAATAGGTAGATAGACATATATTACTAGTATATATACATACAGCTGTTTATTTTGTGGTGGCATTATTATGGAGAGAGAGAAGGACATTGTGAGAGAGAGAGAGAGAGAGAAGAGAGAGAGAGAGAGAGAGACAGAGAGAGGGACTGACAGCATGCATCAAGTTCTATTCAAGATTCCACTGATGCTGATATTATAATTATTTGTGGTACAAAAAATGCTGCTCATGAAGCTTTTACAGACAGCAATCATTCTCATCAATAATTCCTTTCTTTATGAAAAGGCAAAATATACAAATTTCCTGTATAACACAAATATTGATGAAATATATGCAAATTTAATAAATTCATAACACAGTAAAACTCAGTGCGAGTCAGTGCGAGCGCACCAATCAATGTTAATGATTATCATAAAGATCAATACAGCAGCATGCATATTGTGACCAAATGCATGTTTTCTTGCATGATCATGCCTGATCGATACGTGCCTAAACGTGGGAGGATGCCGTGATTAGTATGGTGTAGAGTGGAATAAAAAATCCTATCTAAAACACCTAATTGTCACTAGCTACAGGCAAGCCTGAGGCACTCTCCAATGGCTGCCATTCCCATATTCAACAGTCAACAGGTTATGAAAACATTTCTCCGATACTTAAGGTCAGCTTATTTGATCGAAACAACAGTTTGTTTTACACTACACTTCACTGCTATCAATTTCCAATACTGTGACCTTCTTAAAATAGCCCAAATTACATCCTCTGCTTGCACATGAACTATATACTTCAGTATCGGAAATTAATAACCATATCCGTCTCGATTCTTTTTTGACCCACAGTTGTATTACAAGTGTCTCCTAAAGGTTTCAGTGGCACTGTTTGTTCAATTTCTTTCCAAGACAAACACTTATCAAGCTTTCCAAGCAACCACAAAGTTCAGTTAAGCCAAAGTGGTTACATTTAGAATATGTCTTATAAGTATTTTGTTCAAGTCAAAGAATCCTAATAATAAAAAACAAAGTATTTGTGGCTACAGTGGCATATTTTTGTTTGTTTTTGTTTGTGTAAAAAATTAATGTTTTCATCAGAGTACTAGTTATCATATTTTAGTAAAAATCATCGAATACTTGTTAAAGAAAGAAAAAAAAAGAACCAACAAACAAAAATGGAAAATGTTCTTCTGACAATGCAAATTATCTCATTAACCCCAATTAGTCACATTTGACATTTGACAAAAGGTTATATTCAAGTATAAGTTAAAAATCTCAATTATAGCATAGGGAGAGAAAAAAGAAAAATGTAACTAGTTTACAGAAGTCTTTAAACCAACTCATCTATAAAAATCTTCATCTATTGCCAAGTATACCTTTCAAACTCTAAATGGTCAAGGAAAAGCAAATCCATAACTGAAGACTCAGGCTATACTAGAAGTTCCAGCTTCTAAACCGTCTCTAAAAATATGCCCAGAAATATTTGTTCAGGAACAATTTCTGGGATCCTTAAAGCCCATGCAAACACTGCTAGAAAACCCGGCAGGTGGAAGGTCTAAAAAAGACACCGTCTGCGTCAAATATCTACACAATATAAACATCAATCTTTAATATTTTATGTAATCAGCTGATGGGCGCGTGCTAATGAAATGAAAAGCCCGTGACTGGGGTTCTGACATTCTTGCTGTATAATAACAGACCATAGCTTGGTTGAGTATTAGATTATCAGCCCCACATTTAAACACCAGGGGAATTTCTTCAAACTGTTCTGTTTTAACATAGATGATGTACTTACTGCAAACTCAAAATATATTTGAGAAAAAAAATTCTTATTTTAATTATTGATTTCTTTCTTTCTTTTTTTATTTATATTTTATTTTTGTTTTTATTTATTTATTCATTTATTTATTTATTTATTTATTTATTTATTTATTTATTTATTTATTTTATTTTTATTTATTTATTTATTTATTTATTTTTTGAAAATTCACCCTATAACCCACTCTCTTCTCTTATCTGCATATGCATGTTGATAATTAAAAAATTGTTTCTAATTCATTTAATTCAGGTAAGTGAAATGAGTACAATGTAAAAGACCGGTTATATTTATCATGCATGTATAAACACAAAAACCAAACACAAAAACAATCAACTGTTTGGAAAAGCACTTTCCCTATATTGGTCACAAAACAAAATCATTTTGAGCTTAGGTCAAATTGTGCCTCCTTTTTATGACCACAGCAATGCCAATTTCATGGTCAAACATAGGCCACAGAAAGGATGCCATCCAGTGTAAAGGGGGTTTACATAAACATATCAAACCTGGTACTTAGCACCAGGATACTGGTATCTTGTAGAACTATTTTACCAATTTTTCATTCTAAGACTTATTATTTGTTTTCCATGTATTTATTTCTTGAATTAAGACAAAGATTGAAAAAATTAAAGATTTTTTTTTTGGGCTCAAGTTTCATCAATTAATTTTTTGAATTAAGATAGAGATTGAAAAAAATTAAAGATGTCTTTTTTGGCTCAAGTTGTATGCAAAATAAATGATATTAACAATTATTTGTGGAAACACGTTCATAACACTGGTTTCCTTTCACCCCACTTTTAAAGCTCATAGGTGTATACATCATAATATTCTCAATGGTTTTGAACAGGGTAAAAAGCTTTTAGAGATAAAGGGAAAACTGCTGAAACTTCCAGGAAAATTATTCTATCTTTATATTTTTCCTACACATGAAGAAAACGTATGCCATAAGGCCAATTTTCATTTTAGTTCTAATGGGAACTAGATATGCCTAAGGGGTATACATTATCCCACTCAATGTATTATTCTTCCACAATATGACACCACCATCTTTAATTGATCTTAGATTAAGGCATCTTAATCTGATCTTAGATTAGGGCATACTTCTTTGTAGAAATATTATCAATTTATAGTTTTAACTCTGAACTATTAATTATTTTATCAAGAAAGTATTAATTAGAGAAAAGGGTTATAATTTTGTCAACGATTGTGGATGGTTTGTACTTTCCAGTTTAAGACTGACTTCAGGGAAAAATATTGAAATTTTCTGAATCATCATCAAATTATTACTTGGTGTTCTAAGCCTGAATGCTCATCCTGTGCTTTGAATCTCTTTATTAGTGATACAGAACCCAGAGGTATATATCAGCCTACCCAATTAGGGACCTCACAGAGAGTTAAAAGATGAATGAAGCTAATCATGTAAAACATACTGTAACATTAAGTACATATTTGGATTCTAAATGTTTGCCAAATGAAATATAATATACCACCTGATGCTGGTCTGAAGGCTCTAAAATTAGGTCCAGCTCCTAGTGAAAAATTTATCTCCATCCCAACATCTAATGGAGGCAAATAAGTAACTTTCAGAAGGTGCCCATGCAAGAGTAAGGTGGTTTAACATTAAATTTTTAAGGTACCCTATCTGGGATTTTATAGCTAAATCTACTTTTCCTTAATAAAAAAAATCCTCTTACTCAAGAACTATTCCACAATCCATCCCTGAACTCGGATTTGAGCTTTTATACGATTTCTTATTAAATAATTTACAGAACTTTCCAAGTCCCTAGCTGAATATTTGGACCTTCATGCTTTCTGGTACATTTCAAAGGAAATATCAACATCAGGACCCTTTATTTGAGAAGTTTTTTTTTTTTTTTGTTTTAAAGGTCTGAATAGGGAAAATAGTTGCTTTGCATGATATCTTTTTTTTCATTTTTTTTTCCTTTTTTTTTTTGCTTTCTGGATGTAAAAAATATCTGTCAAGAATTTGATAAAATAATAACCTATGATCTTAATACCCAAAACTGAGTGAATGAATTCTGAATAGCTCATCATGCCTAATTTTCCCCTCATTTTTACTTGACATAAGTCAATAACTTAACAAATCTTCACTTTGACACAAAAATATCTAGTATTTTAAGCCTCTATCATAATGGAGTCATTCACAGCTGTCTATATTATTATGGCTGACATTACCTAATCCAAGTTCATGGCAACATATAAACAACCACCACCCTTGATGACTTCGTTGTTGTCACAGCTGCTTTGCGCCCACGCTACTGTTATTACTGTATAAAAGCCATTAGTTAGTCAGTTCACCTGGTATGAAGTCTAACAGTCAGTTTTACAATGCCATTTTTGCCTGAAACTTTGAGGCCAAAATTTTGGTGTACTTAGTTTAAAGACAATAAAGTTTATAGTAGTCCACTTAAATTAAGGCAATTTAGCCTATTTTGGATTAAACTTTTGGTCACTAAAGCTTAACTCAAGTTAAAGATAAATTTATAGTGGTCTGTTTAAATAAAATAATTTAAAAGTATTGGTTTGAATTGTATCTTTCATTTTTTCCCCCATTTGCTGGCCATAGACTTAGAGACTGAAATTCTATTGTGGTGCTTTTACTGCATAAAATAGAACTAAAGAAAAGCCTGCTTTTCAACTTTGTTGCTGTCACTCAATAGGAATGTTTTAATTTTGAGAAGTTATGATAAAAAAAAAGAAAAAAACAACAGAATCTGTAAAATTCATAATTTTCCCCACTGAAAAGATCAAAGTGTTTTAAATTTTTGACTAGTGTTTTAGACTATTTTGATGGAAATTAAATGGTAGAATATAGGAATATAATTATGTCCAGACATTTTGGGAGCTGAAGTTTTTTGACAAACAGGCTCAAAGTGCTTTAAGAGCATAGCATCATTATCTGATGCTACCTGTTGCTTTGTACTTAATTGCACCTATATTTTGAAATAAATTTTGTCACTTCTGCCAAACATACAATACTTTAACCAATCACATGTACCACAAACACAGCAAACACAATCGCATTCAACATAATCTCACCTGACACAATTACAACTTGTACTTCCACACATACATACCACAATCGCAACTTTATCATTCCTAACACAACCAACTCTATTTATTATCACATGTAACACAATCAAACCTTAAATTATCATATCCTATATTATCTCACTTAACACAACCACACCTTAAATTATCATACCTTACATAAACACACCTTAAATTATCATACCTTGCACAAACACACCTTAAATTATCACACCTTACACAAAAAAAACCTATATTATCGCACCTAACACAACCATACCTTAAATTATCACAATTTAACATTATAACTTATTTCATCTAACCTTACTCGATCATATCCTTTAATTTCAACCAACACAATCACATTTTACTTACCTACTCCCTTCTCACTGATGCTCTCGCTCTCCAAGTCTTGATCATCACAGCTAGTATATTCCGGTGTTGAGCGAATCTCATCATCAGAACTACTGAACGAAGGCTGCTGAACAGGCTGCTTTGATTTCCCTTTTTTATGTTTATGTGGTCTTGGCGGTGGTGGGCGCACACAGTCTGAGGGATCTGAACTCAGAGAATCATTTCGTAACATCGTCTCCATTTTCCGCCTGTTATTTTTGGAATTTCTATTTGCTGCGGAGCTAGGATCTAAGTGAGTTTGCGACATGCGACGGGAGTCTCCTGATCTGGCATCTAAATCTGAGATTTCTTCCCGCCCACTTGCACCGCCCCGTCTGTCCCTCATGGAGTCCATTACTTCCTCCCTTGGTGATACAGGAGAAGTTCCCACCACCATGCGCTCGTGACGGGGCGATTGTGGTGGCTTTGCAGTTATGTGAACATCAGGCTGCAAAGGTTGCTGAGCTGTTCGAGCTAATTCCCGCTCGCGCTCACTCCCCAAAGGCTTCTGCATTTGATCACCAGGCATTCCACGTTCTCGCACACTTCGTGATGAGTGATCTGATCTGCGACTCGTAGAAGAGTCTTGTCGTATGAGTTGCTCGTGATCGTGAGGTTCATGTATTTCTCTGTGCCTGTCCATGGTTCCGTCTCTACGGCGATCTTCTCCCATGTCCCTTTTTCTGTCCATAGCTATAGTCTCACGGCCGCCATCTTGGTAGTCTCTCATGTCTTTAGTGCCATCTGGTGGATGGACCACACCTTCTCTCCTGCAGGAAAAAATATGAATTATTAGTAAATTATGATATCATATATTACAAATTATAATTTTGAATTACTGAAAATGTCCAAAAAACAAATAAATTCGTATCCTCTTGGTTGCTATTTTAATAGTCACTCATATCTTTCATGTCATCTGATATTAAATACAAAAACACCCACACACCCGCCTAGCTTCCAACTCATTAGTCATCTCAAACATGAAACTTTCACCTAGAAAAGGTTGTGCTGTCTGTTTAACCCCAGGAAAACAGAGGTTTATCATGTCAATAAGGTTGAAGATAAAGAATCTATGCATGTTTTCCAAATAGCAGAAAAAATTGTTTTGCAATCAGCATAAATAGTAGATATAAACAAACATATATGTTTCAATATGCCCCCTCACTATGAAACAGATCTGATGACAAACATCAACCCCTATCGCTTAGATACTTTCAAACTTTTTAATCATCTACAAGCAGCCTAGAGCACAAATAACAGTATGAGACCATATGCTTGCCCCTATTCAGCATCTAGTTTCAGGATAAAATCAATTTGTTGTGAATGACTTGTTTTTGTGAGTTTTTGTATTATTATCAATTATTTATTTCAAAATCTTTTTGACATAAAAAGGGCCTATTCCAGCTAAGAATGTGCATTTTCTTACAGTGAATGAGAGGAAAAATAAAATACATGATGCTTCAGAATTTTTTTTACAATATTAATAATACTTATAAATTATATAACTAAGAAAATGATTTTTCAAAATCATACAAACTAGAAGGTTTAAGTAATACAAGGAAATAGGTGAAGATAAAAACAGATTAAAATATAAGTGGCTTAAATGTATCAAGAAAAATTCCATTTGCTTTAATTACCTATGACAAGGAGGTTATGTTTTCACCCCTGTTTGTCTGTTTGTTTGTCATCAACATAACTCAAACAGTTATCGACCGATTTCGATGAAATTTTCAGGGACTGTTAGAAGTGGGCAAAGGAAGAGATGATTAGTTTTTGGTGGTGATCTGGATCAATAAACAATCAATAATCAGTCATAATCAAAAATGGCTGCCTTGGCAGAGGTCTGCGCTCTCGGAGTGCTTATCTAGTTACTGTATGTTATAAAGGCTGCAACAACAAGTGCGCTAAAAGGGGCGGAATTAAAGTTTGAATGGAAAACAATATGAAATTGGTTTACAATTTGGGCTTGCAGAGAAAAAGTATTTTAAAATTCTTACCGATGCCTCTTCTGCACCATTTCTTTATCTGCATAGCGATCAGGAGGAGACTCGCGTCGCCTATCACCATGAAAATGATCTGCATTCAGATCACGCTGCTGTTGCTGCTGCTGTTGCATATGGGCCTCTCTCATTTCCTGTTCACGAACTCTTGCTGGAGAAGGAGATCGACGGCGCAATTCTTGATCACTAGGAGGAATCACATCATGCGGGGATAGCTCCCCTCTTCGACCACGTGGCGACCGAGACCGTCCCGGTGGGGGGAGATCTTTTTGGCGTGGGTCTCCGTCAGGATGCATGCGCCCCCTATCCATCCTGGGGTCTTGGTCAGGTCGGAGGTGGGAATCATGATCAGGTCGCATACGATCCAGCTCAGCTGGAGATGGCCGTCTTCCATCTGAAGAACGCCTCTCAACAGAAGGGTCTCGTGACCTTGACCCTGGTGGATGCAGCGTGCCGTGTCCATCATGCATTGGGTCTTGCCCGTTGGCTCCCCGCCGTCTCCCATGTATATGCATGCCTTCAAGGTGCCTGTCGTCAGGTGGCAGGCTACGAGTACGGGCCTGATCAGGTGGCAGTTGCTCTAAAGGCCGCCCTCTGGCCCGCCCTCTCTCACTCATCCTATCTTCATGACCACCTGGTGACCTATCATAATGTCCTTGCTCTTTACTGCCATCTTGGATTTTTCCAACCTCCGACATTGAATACTGCCGTTTGAGTTCTCTACTACCGCGGAGACTCCCAGATCTAGACATTTGCATTCTGGGATCATCTGGTCTACGAACAATGTTCTCCTTTTCAGATCCCTGTCCACTGCTATCTGACTGACCTTGACCCTGACCCCTAGGTCCTCCTGAGACTCGTGCTCTCCTGTCCGACGTGGGACTAATATCAGTCTTTGTGGAAGCCGTTTCGCTTCCTGAGCCGACCTCAATGTCCAGGGCCACTGGGCGTGCTTGACCGCCATGATACCACTGGCCTGTCTTGGCGAGTATTTCCTGTTTCTTTTTACACAGCTGGCACGCCCACACAACCTGAGGATGAGATGAAGAAGTTTCACATCAAATGGTCTCTTTAGACATTATTACTGGCATGGGGGACAAAAGTAGGCAGTTTCTAAACGTGTTAAATTTCCACATGCAAAAAGAATATCAAGGTAAAGCATGCTTTTACGTGAAAATAAATATGAACTCAAATGTATTATCACATATCAAGAAATCCAAATATTTGTGACATAATAATAATAATAATAATAATAATAATAATAATAATAGTTTCAATGAACCAATATGAAAATGCATTATGCAATTCATTTGAGAGTCACTCTTTTAAGCAAAGGGGATCTTGGGACAATAAGCAATCTGCCCCCAAAAATATGAAGACAAAACCCTCCTGGCAAAGTTCTCTTTTATGAAACAGAGTGAGATGAATTTGAGAAGAAACCACTATAGATATTATTTTTAGGGACAGTTAAATTCTACATATTGTGGGCTCTGGCATGATATCAAAGGCCCCCTTTTTTTTTTTTTTTTTTTTTTTTTTTGACGAAAATTTATTTGAACACCTAGATAAAATTTTACCTACAGGGGACCTTTTCCTAGCAAAAAAAAAAAAAAAAAAAAAA